TCGGAGCCCCAGGCTGGGCAGGGGACAGGCATTCCACACAGATAAGTGAGTGGGATGCTTCAGACTTGGTAGGGAGGGCTTCTCAGAGGGCACAGCACTTGGGCAGACAATGGAGAAGTAGCTGCTTGAGAGAGTTCAGGGGACCCTGCCCCCCAGGCAGAGGAGGCAGCAAGTGCAAAGGTCCTGTGGCTGCAGTGGGGTTTTTTCCCTCTCAAGGTGGGCCAGGTGGCCTGATGCTGGAGTAGGCATGAAAGGAAATGGGCAAGGGTGGAGCTGGGTTCTGCTGCGCCTCGGGAGGCTTTAAGTGAGAGGTAAGACGGACAAATGTACCTTAAGAAGACGGTGCTGGCAGTGGGAAGCTTAGGAGGGGGGCAGGAGGCAGGGTCCAGGAGGGAGATGGAGTGGCCTGGATTTGCGGCTGGTTTCTTTTTTTTTTTTTCTTTTTTCTTTTTTTAATGTTTTACTTATTTTTGAGAGAGATATAGAGACAGCATGATCAGGGGAGGGTCAGAGAGAGGGAGTCACAGAATTTGAAGACAGGCTCCAGGCTCTGAGCTGGCTGCCAGCACAGAGCCCGACGCGGGGCTTGAACCCACGAACCGTGAGATCATGACCTGAGCCGAAGTCAGAAGCTTAACAGACTGAGCCCCCAGGCGCCCCTGGGGCTGGTTTCTTGATGTGGGATAAGGAAGCAGGGTCTGGCCTGAGAAGGCCCCTCCCTGCCCTAAGCACTCCCCTGAACCCCTGGGGTCATGCCCAGGCCCCATGATGTTGAAGCAAGGAGACATGGAGTTTTTAAAGCAGGGACCAGAAATTCCAAATTCTGGCAGGAGGCTCCTGGGGGGGGGGGGGACCTCGGCTACAGATGGTCCCTCACCCTTCATATGGACCATGGAGCTTCCTTCCTTCCACCAGGTGGGCCCTGGGCCTCAACCCTCACCTGGGGAAATGGATTTGTCCCCCGTCCCCACCCCACGTGCCTCCGTGCTAGGTCTGGAGCCAGGGAAACCCTTGTCTCACCCCTGCTCCCCCCTCCCCCCCGGATAATGCAGGATTTATTCCCGTGAGCTAATGCAGGGATTTGCATGGAGCACTCCCACCCTCATCTCCCTCGGATCCACCAGGCCATCTGGGGTGGCAGACAGGGGCCTCCAGTCCCGCCCGGTTCTTTAGACCATCCCCTCCACCCTCCCCGTCCCTTGGGGACTCCAGGGGGTGTGACACAAATACAGGCCGGCGTCCCTTCGTCCTGGCTTTGTCTAAATGCCTCCGAGGGGCAGGAGAGGGACCGGCTCATCTCTTTCCCTCGCACCAGGCCTCCCAGCGGCGGAAAACTGGGGACCCTTGCGCAGAAAGTCAGTGGCAGCCAGTCAGACCTCAGAGGCACCTACAGACTTAGGGACAGGCTGCAAGCCACCGGCGCAGACTTTCTCTCTAGACCTGCCTAGGCCCCCGGTGCCCGGGCTGCCTCTGGTACCCGAGTGACAGTCATGTGAGAAGGTGGCGGGAGGCGGCAGAAAACGCGAACAACCCACCCTTCCTGGGGTCCCCAGCCCGCCCACCGTTAAGTGCTGGTCCAGGTGAAGGGAACAGGAATTGCCTGTTTGTTTCCCTATTGTTCTGGGGGGGAGGGGCAGAAGCCCCCTGGGGGCCCCGTGAGGTGCTGGCTGTGACTGGGGCCTCCCTGCTTTGCACTCTTGTTTGGACGCCAGTTGCCACTCAGGCACGGACGGCAGGTGCCCAGAAGGGACAGCAATCCCAGCCGCTCCCTCTGTCCCCTGAACGTGCTTCTCCACTGTCCCCCCCCCGCCCCCCGTGGAAGCCCCGGAACAGCGGTGCCACCCACACGCCTGCGTTTTCCAAGTGAAGAAACTGCCTCAGAAAGGGTTGGGCTGGTCCAAAGCAGCCCAGGGATGGGCGTCAGGGGCACGACCTCTGCCCAGCACCCGGCCGTGCCCCGCAGCGGGCTCACACACCCCCGAGACCCCAGGACGTGGCAGGGGCTGAGAGGCGAGCAAGCAACGCGAAGTGGAAAAGGACACAAATGTGGGGCGCGCCTGCGCGGCAGGAAGGCGATGGGCCGGAGCCGGGCTGAGGGCGGCTGTGGCCAAGGGCACAGCGTGTGCAAAGGCTGGTCACCCCGGGGAAGCAGGGAGGAGGGCCGGCGTGGCGTAGAACGTCACACGCTCCCTGTTGCTCACACCGCCACCTCTCACATCTGGGGAAACCAAGGCAGGGAGGCCCAGAGAGGACTCAGGCCAGCAGCAGGCAACAGGGGCCTCTGCAGACGGCCCCAGGCTCCCTCCAGAGCCGCTGCCTTCTGGCCTTTCCCCAGGACGCTCTCTCCTCCCGGACACCCTCCACTGTCCATCCGCACGTGTCTTCCCTTCCTCGAAGCCTCCGCAAACACCCCTCCCTGCTGGAAGGCGCACCGTGGCCTGCGCGCGGCCAGGCGGTGCCAGGGTGATTCCAGTTCACTGGGCACTCATTGTCCCGTTCTCCGTGCCAGGTGGGGGCCGGGCCAGGCACGGGAAGGGCTTCACAGGCAAGCAACGGCCAGAGCTCAAGGAAGTGGAGACACTGTGATGTTGGGCACCGAACCCGGGGGCCTGCACCTCAAAATCTCTTTCCTCTTTAAGTCCCTCACAGTGTGTGGACGCAGGCACCAATGAGGATGGCGTCTGCACCCCTGGGTCAGATTTAAAACTACTCACTCCTTGAGTAGTTTTATGAAAACTCACACACACCTAGAAGCATAGCGATGATCCACAGCCCGCCTTCGGGTACCCCAGTATCTTGACCAATCCCCAGAAAGCCTTTTTTTCCCCATATCTCCCTGATCTGGATGGGATGCGGCCAGAGGCTGGGCTGCCAGCCTGGTGCGTACCCCCAATTTGCCCCTGACTCATTGCGTAGCTTTGGGCAAGTGACTTAGCCTCTCCGTGTTCCCTTTCCACTTCACAGCCGACATGACTGAAGCAGTATGAGTAAGGTGCTGCCACGGCACCCAGCCCAAGGGCCTCAGGAAGCTCGGTGGCTGTCCCCATCGGAATCAGCCCTCCACTGAAACAGGGGCGGCTGCAGAAGCTCCACTGCATCCCAGATTGGAGATACCCTAAGTTTTCAGTTTGACAATGTCTCCTCTAGTCCCCGGTCAGGACACACTCACCGTCCCCCTGCCTGCTCAGCCCTGCTTTGCAGTTTATCTGCCCAGCCTGGACCACGTGTCCCGCACAGATTCTCACAGGTGACTATCTCCAAGTGGCACAAGGGCTGGGAAGCCTGGCTCCTCCCCCTGGCATCCCTGCTCCCAGGCCACAAGCTGCCCCTTCTGCAGCCAAGAGGAAGCCCAGGGCCACCCACCGCTGGCAGTGGGCGGGGGTGGGGGGTGGAGGGGAGAGGCTGGCTGCAGGCAGACGTGTGGAGGAGACCCAGGGCAATGGCTACTTTCTTCGGCCACCTTCCCTGCCCACCATGTTCCTGGTGTCCCTTCCCGGCCAGCTGGCCAGGCTGCTGGAACACGAGCAGAGGCACTGACCCAAGCTCTTCCAGCCTGGACCACCTACACGAGATGGTGAGCCCCGGTGCAGGTCAAGACCATCCAAATGCACCTCATTCGGACACCCCAGATCCCCCCCACCCTTGGCCTCTCCCCAAACTCAAGCCATTAGTCAAGGGTGTCTTTCACACACACACACCCCCAGGGAAGGTCTGAAAAGTAAGCAGTTGGAATCCCTGTCTCTGTCCCTGACTTGCGTGCCCCTGGGGCCTCAGTTTCCCAAGCTGTCAAGCACTGGAGTTGCGGAAGAGCTAGGACAAGGGAGAATCCCACAGCCCCCTTTCCCAGCTCTGCAGATCCGGAGCAAGTGCGGAGCAGGTTCGGGGTGGGGGGGCGGGGGGGGGCGGGGGCGGCTCAGGCTCCGGGCGAGACGGGGCTTGATAAAACCGGCCGGTGCGGGAGCTCCTGGGCTGCTGTCCGTGGTGCTGAAGCCGCGCCGGCCCGGAGAACCAGGCCGGGCGACCTGGGCAGGCCCTCCGCAGACCCTCTGCGTGCCAACTCACACCTCCTTCATGGACACACAACTTCACACACACACACACACACACACACACACACACACACCCCTAGGGACCCGCCTGCCCCCTAGATCGTTCGGCCCACGGCCCAAGGGCCCACGCCCCCTGCAGTCACATGCTCCGGATCACATACACAGCCTGCAGTGATGTGCACGGTTCACACTTGCAGGCCACAGGGCGCGCACCCACGAGCAAGAACCACACACACACTAGGCCGTGACCCTGCGCTGGGCTTTGCTCTGAGCCTTTCCACCTATCAACCGCTTTAATACATATCAACGTCTACACACCCACTGACACATGGACACGCCACCCAGTGGCTCCCGCTGCTGCGGCTCAGGGAAGACAGCCTGGGGACCCCAGCACGCACAGCGCCCTCTCCTCGCGCAACACCCAGGCCCGGGGACCGGAACGCGCCTCCCTGAGGTGTGGGGCGCAGGTGGAGACCTTGGGCGCGAGCCATGTTCCCTTAACCCCTTCTCCGCCAGCCTCTCGCGGGCACGTCCTTCCCGGGCGCCCTTCCTTCCGCCTTCCTTCCGCTCTGCCGCCTCCCGGGCGCCCACGTTCCCCTCTATTCGTCCTCCGCCCCTCCGCGCTCAGACCCTGGTCCTGCGGCTCATGACGCGCGCCCATCCCGCAGGGAGGCGGATGTCAGGGCGCGTGGGAGGGGGCGCTCAGGGGTCACCGCGGGAGCCTGCGCGCGCTTCCCGGTGCTTCCCCCCCCCCCGCCAGGGGCGGAGCCTCGCGCGCCCAGGCCATTATGGGGCGGGTCTCGGACGCGCCCGAGGTCACCGAGGGGCCCCGAGGTCACCCACGGGGCGCGCAGCCCCGCCCTCCCCGAGGTCCTCCAAGGACGGCCCCCCGCGCGCGCGTCCGCCCGCGGGGCCCCCTCCGCGCCGGCCGGTCCCTCCCGCTGGCTGTACCTGAAGTCGCTGTACGGGTGGATGATCCAGGCCCCCGCCGACTTGACGCGCTCCTGCTCGCGCTCGACCGCCTTCTGGCTGCCGAACATCCGCAGCGAGAACTTGTTGACGCCGGGCTGCAGGAGCGCGCCGAACTGGCGCTGCATGAAGCTGGCCTGGCTGCCGCGCGGCTCCCCCGCGGGGCCCGCCTCCTCGCTGCCCGCCTCGTCCGCCGGCCCCGGCCCCGCGCCGGCCCCGCGGCACGAAAACGACACCTTGGACCCCCGCGCCGGGCCCTCAGGCCCCGCGGGGCTGCACTGCGGCTCGCCGCGCCCGCACTCGCCGTTCGGGCTGCCCTTGGCGGTGCTCGCTGCGCCCGGAGTGCCCGGGCGGCCGCACGAGCTGTCGCGGCTGCGGAGCCGGGCCCGCGGGCCGCCCTCGTCCGTCGCCTCCGGGGGCGCCGCCGCCTCGGCCCGGGGCGGCTGCTGGGGGGGCGCAGGCCCGGGGCCCGGGGGGGGCGCGGGCGGCGGCGGCGGCGGCGGTTGCTGCTGGGGGGGCGCGGGCGGCGGCGGCGGCGGCGGCCCCGACGCGGGGGTCGCGCCCGGGCTCTCCCCGGGCCGCCCGCCGCCCCCGCGCGCGTCCATGGCGAGGCGGCGCCGGGCAGTGCGGAGCGGAGCCGCCGCCGCCGCCGCCGGCCCGAGCCCGAGGGAGGGGGGAGGCGGGGCCTGGGCAGGGGCGGGGCCCCGGGGGCGGGGCCAGGGGGGAGGGGCGGTGGGGGTCCCGCCTCTGCCCGCGCCCCCTCCCGGCGCGCCGCGCCCAGACCCCGCGCCTTGGAAACTGAGGCCGCGGGGTCGGTGACCGCCCAAGGTCACGCGGCCGAAGGCCTTGGAGACCTGCTCGGGCCTCGTTCTGGAAAGGGAAACTGAGGCCCACGAGGCGGAAGGACACGCCCAAGGTCACAGCCCCGCCGCGGGGCCAGAGCTTCCGCGTGCCACCTTGGCCAGGGGCCCTTCCCGTCCCCAGGGTTCACCTGCCTGAAGGGGGCAACCAGGGCGGGGGAAGTGATAGCGCCCCGTGTCAGCCTCTCTCTTTTCTGTAAGTTAGAATTTCCGTAATAAAAGGATGTTTTTAAAGGCCAAAAGGTCCCTTGTTTTGTAATTTGAGGGCCCTGGAAAGACTCGGAAATGTGTCGTGTGCAGAGGGGCAAAATGGAGTCCTTGAGGCCAGTCTCCAGGTCTTTCTTGCCTCCTGCGTGTAAGGAAAACTGTGGCCAATAGGAAGGGCCTCCCGAAGTTGTGGGCACCTACCCCTCAAGCGGTGCCCTAAAATTCAGTGGAGGGCTGGGGTCTCCTGGAAGGCTGGTGGGTCCCAGGATCATAGGGGGGACCCAGAGTCCCTCCCCGCTTCCCACTGATGCCCACATGGGAGTCCCACTGGAGTGCCCCATTTCTCTGCCCCTTGGGCTCAGCCCCCACCCTCGGAAGGACACCTGAGGCTCTGTGCCAGCGCCCAGAGCCAGGTTAGGGAGTTATGTGGTGTTAGGTGACATGGGAGCACGGGCCCAAGACCCTGTCCCTGCCCCTGGTCCCTTTCTGGGCTCAACCAGAGGTCGGGGGGGTGGGTGTCCTGAGAGGCAGGTGATGGAGACAGAGGAGCCCCCCACCTTCATAGCACTGTTCAGTGGGCACATCCATCTGCTGGTGTGTGGGGTCCGTGAGAGCAGAGATGTAACCTGTCCCTGCGTACGGTGGGTACTCACTGGGAGGGGCTGAGCCAGGCCGTCTTGAGCCCGCACCAGGCCGCCCGCCTCAAGCCCCGGGGACTCCTGTGGCTCCGTCAGGCAGGTCGGGCCTCCCAGGGGGTCACTTCCACTTGCCTTTGGCCAGACCTGCAGCCCAGCTGGGCAGGGCCGCTCTCTGTCCTGAGGGGGTGAGAGAGAAGCTGGGCGGGCAGTAGAGTTGGCAGTGCCAGGCTGCAGCCCGCCCCAGGCAGATGTGTGTTCCAGCTGAAGGGGGATCTTTTATGCTCACCCTGGGAGCATGTCAGTCTGGGCAGGCCGCCAGAGCCCCGGGGCATGCCGCTGAGAGCAGGGAGGAGGCCGACCCAGGGCCCAGCCTGAGGACCCACCAGGCCTGCGGTGGAAGAGGCAGGCCTGGACCTTGGGGGTCCAGGCTCCTCCTGAGCCTTGAGGACCCTGTCCGCAGGTCCTGATGACTCTTCATACCACAGACTCCCCCCCCCCCGGGGGCCAGATGGCCACCAGCGTGCCTCTCCCACCCCGTCACCACCTGCCCAGGACAGAGTATTCTTAGTATTCACTCAATTCATTGATTCAACATATCTTCGTTAAGCACCTGATCAGGGGCCGGGATTTAGAAGTGAACCTCGCAGGCCACCCCTACCCTGCTGGGGCTGACAGTTGAGCAGAGGGGACAGTGAACACAATAAACATTACATTTAATAGATAATTAGAAGGTGACCAGTGCTACACAACTCAGGCTAGGAAAGGGAGGAAAAAGGTGCTGGGGGGGAGGGGTGCGATATGTCCCGAGGCCTGGAGGAGGTGATGTCCGAGGGAAAACCAGAAGGGAGGGAGGGCTGGACACTTGTCATGTGAACATTTGTGGGAAGAGCGTCCAAAAGGTGGCATGGTCCGTGCAAAAGCCCTGAGGCAGGATGGTGCCTGGCATGTGGGAGAAGAAAGCGTACCAAGGAGCCAGGGGGTGGCTGAAGATGAGGGCGCTGAGAGACAGCAGTGGGGCAGGGCAGGGCTACCGTGTGGACGGGTCTGTTGCCTAAAACTGCTCTCGACTCCCCAGTGCCTTTGGAAGGAAACCCCAATGGCTCCGCACCATCCAGTTTGCCCCCCATCTGTCCTCACCATTCTTGGACTCTGCACACAGTGTGTCTGCCACACTGAGCCCCGGGTACCTCCTTTGCCGCTACCCCCTGCCTAGACTCTGGGGGCCATCTTCGGACCTCCACCCACAAGCCTGCTTCCTCTCTAGCTGGGGCAAGTCCAGGTTGAAAGCCCTGAAGCCCATACGGTTTGCGCACCCGTGCGTGAAAAATAGTTGAAGACCAAGAAGACAAAATGAGGCCAGCGCTCGCGGCAGGCCCCGGGCCCGCGACGGTCCTGCGGTTTCAGCCTCAGGGGCTGCCGGACTCAAAGAATACGGAGATGTCCGATAAGACACGGGTGTCAGGGTTAGGAAAGAGAGGGCGGCGTGTCCGAGGTCTTAGAGCCACACGTGCAAACACCATTGTGCTCTGGGGGGTCCCTCCCAGAGTGGCCAGTGACCTCACTTCATGGCGTCTGCAGCGAGGACGTCCCCAGGTCTGCTGACCTAGGGCACAGCAGGGTTTTCCTTTCCCCACAGAGATCACTCTCCTCGGTGGATGCAAGGATGGGACAGGACAGCCAAACCAGGTGACCCCCCGGCACGTCTGTCCTACTTCGTGTCAGCCGTCTTCTGCTGCTGGGCGAGACCCCATATCCCTCCCTTGCTGCCAACCAGTGTGAGACCTCGGTGTGCCTGGGGGAGGTGCTCTGGGGCTCCATCACAGGCTAGTCGGGGTGGGGTGTCCCAGGGAGAGGATGGGCACCCCCGTCCGTGGGGCCAGAGATGCCCATGGGTGACTTCCGAGTGGCACCCGGAACGTGCCCTTGTTTCGTCTACTGGACAGCCCTCCTGTGCCCTCCACAGATTGGGACCCCCGAGACATTGGTTCCTGAGCCCCCAAGCACTTGCCAAGTATGGAGATAGTGGCTGCTATCACTTCATCCCACTCTGGGGAAACTGAGGCAGGCTTCAGCAGGCTGTTAACAAGAACACTCCAGTAGCACAGGGCTGCACACTGTGGTGCTCCTTAAATGCTCACAGGTAGAAGGATGAATACTTAAGTACTTACAAAAGAAAGCTTACAAAGCTGCTTGTGAGTGGTCCCGATTTCGCTAATTACTCATCCACGTGAGAGGCATCTACGAGGGGAGGGTCTTTTGGACGAGGAGGACCAGTGCGGGTCAGCTAAGGAGACCGAGCCTCACTCCCCACACCACCCATCATGCCCCAGGCTCTTCCTGCCCCAGCCCTCGAATTTCCTGTCTGGACCCAGCGCAGAGCGCAGCCCGAAGCACAGGGACAGAGCCCTGGCCTCCCAAGGGACACAGACCCCCAGCAACCCAATGCCCCCGTGTGCCTCTGACCTCGGGTGGAGGAGGGAGGCCGAGCCCGAGCCCCGGGGCCTACCCAGCAAGGGGCCAGCCCACCTCCCCCCCCAACACAGCCCAGCCACGCCATGGGTGCCCAGCAAACCTCAAAGTGTAAGTGGTGGGTGCCCCCAACGAGCTCCCGGTCGTAGGGAGGGTGGGCCAGGCGTGTCCAGGGCCAGGCTGGTGCGGCCCCAAGAGCCCTCTGTGAGGGAGGGGCTCCACCGCCCCCTAACGCCGGCTCCGGAGCAAGTGCGGAGCGCCCTCTGCTGACAGCCCGAGGGAAGGGCGGGGCCCACCGCTCCAGCCGGCTCAGCTCCTCCCTGCCACCCAGGGCGGCTCCCTTTCAGAGCCCAGGAGTCTCAAACTGGAGGCTTGTGGCCAGGCCTGTCTTCAGCATTTGTGGCGTCATCATGCTGGAGTTTTTGCCCGCGGTGGAAACTAAGGATTTCACATCCAAGCCCTGACTTCTGGCTGCTCCAGAGACTTGGGAAGAGTGGGCTGGCTGGGGGCGAGGCCTCTGGCTCCTCCTGACCCCAGAGGGGAGGCGTGCTGCAGGGTCACCCTGCACAAGCCCTTCTTTCTTTGGGGGTTTCCCCGTCTCACACCAGGCAGGAGGCCTAGATGGCACGGGCAAGGGCACCCCGGCTTGGAGAGGCTGTGGCTCACGAAGCCGTGCCTCCTGCCCCGTCCAGGTCTCCCCGCTTGTTGCACTTGTCAGGCTGTGCAGCGCAAACCGGGACCTCTTTCTCCTGTGGGCCAGCCTTAGAAGGGCCACCTCTCCCACAGCACTGCCCTTCAGGGCTTTCTAGGCCTCGGTGGCCCCTTTTCAGCCGCAGCAAAGTCCCAAGGGGCAGCCTCCCCATCATACCTCACTCAGACCACAGGGGGCTTTCCTGCCCAGGCAGGAGGGTGCCACGCCGCTGTGGGTGGGGTGCCTGTGCTTTCCAGGGGAGCCCACGGGAAGGATTCCCAGGCTCCCCTGTCTAGTCCTTTCTGAAGGTGGGAAATAAGCTCAGAGGCAAGGGCTGCTGTCTGGAGGAACCAGCTGGTCAGTACCGCATTCCCAGGCCCGGACCCTCTGCTCCCAGTGCACCCCGTCTGGACGCAGCACCACATGGCGCGCGCCCCCCCCCCCCCTCTCCTTTTTTCCTGTTGAGACCCAGGACCGGCGCACACGGGAGTCTGGAGAGGTGACGGGTCAGCCTTTATTGGTGAGCAGGCAGGTGGCGGGTGGATTGCGACGCTGGGCGGGGGCCCGCGGCTCCTCCGCAGCCGGGCGTGTGGACAGCAGGGGTGGTAAGGGGCAGGCAGGGCCTGAGCCATCCCGACACACAGCAGCAGACTGGAAGCAACCCGTCAGCACGGACCGCAGGCAGGCAGGCCGGCCACTCGCACAACCCCTGACCTTCCGCAAAGGGTCCCAAAGAGGCCCAGCACCCTCAGGAGGCAGAGCCCCAGGAAAAGGTCAGTCTGCCCTTCACAACCCCAATGATGGGCTGGGATGACAAGGGGATGTGTTGGGGGGATGGCAGGGACAGATGGGGGGCAGCGAGGGGACAGAGGACGTGGGAGTCTCACAGGAAGCTCATGGCTTCCCCAAGGCGCTCACAAGGTGTTTACAAAGGAAAAACAAAACTTCTAACAAACAGAATCCTATATGTAGAAAACCCTAGTTTAGTTTAAAAAAAAGGAAAAAAATTTGACGTGACCCACGGTGTGGTCTGCTTTTGCAGGAAAGGACGTGGACTCTGCCACCAGCAGACGCTGAGCTGCTCCGGACAGAGGCTGGAGGCCTGTGCGGGGCAGGAGCGATGCTCAGACTCCAGCCCGAGGCGGGCCGGGCCGGGCAGGGCAGTCCCCCCCCCCCCCCCCCCCCCCCCCCCCCCCCCCCCCCCCCCCCCCCACCTCAGTTGGCGTTCCTTTGGCGAATGTTCTTGCCTTTGTCGTTGGTGTGTCCACTGCTCTTCCTGGGGAGGGACAGGGGGCTGACGATGCTCAGGAGGACACAACAGCGTCCCTGCCCCCACCTCCCCCCACACACAGTGGAGGCTGTCCAGGCCCTGCCCACCCGCCCAGCAAGGCCACAACTTACAGAGGAGCAGAGCCCGTGTCCTCATCTGTGCAGACGCGCGGCCACATGCAAGGAGAAGACAGGCGGTCAGGACTGTCCCCAAACGAGGCCCCTTATGGGCTGGCGCCAGTCCGGCCGCCAGCACGTGCAGCCTCAAAATGAGCTGTCCGCAGCCATGGCCCAGGGGGCGCCCGGGAGCCCTGCCCGTTCCCCTCATATGCGGCCTGCAGGCGCCAAGCTCAGATGTCTGAGCACGTTTGGTGCCACAACCCTTGGGCCCCAAGCAGCTGCCACAGGCGGGGGCAGAGCCGCTGACTGAGGGAGGGTGGCGGGCGGGGGGCGAGCCGACCTCTAGCCAGGGACCCCTCAGCCCCCCGGGGTCTTGCACCCCAGCGAGCACACGGCGTGCGGCTCACCGTCCAGGACCTCGTCCGGCTTCCGACGCTTCTCGTAGACGAAGATCACCGTGACCAGCACCAGCACCTCGGCCACGATGCCCAGGAACGGCCAGAGGGCAGCGAAGCGGTTTCGCACGCGCAGCACGATGACGGCCTGGCTGGTGCCCTCGGAGTTGGTGCCGTTGCAGATGTACTTGCCGGGGTGCGTCTCCAGGTCCAGGTTGAAGATGTGCAGCTCGGTCTTGGTCTCCGAGGACACCACGAAGACCTTGTTCTGGGAGCTGTTGCTGATGACCTGGGGCGGGGGCGGACTTTGTAGGGACCGAGGAGGCGGAGGCCGGCTCCTCCCCGGGCGGGCGTGGGCCTCACCTGTTCACCGGAGCTGTCCTCCCTGTACCACACCCAGTCGCTGACCGGAGGGAAGGAGTCCGACTTGCAGCCCAGCACTACGGACTCCCTCTCAGTGGCGTGCTCAGACTTCTTCACGGCCTTGATGTTGGGGAGCCCTACAGGGGCGACCCAGCAAGGCAGGAGTCTGAGCCCAGGACCCTGGAGAAGGAGCTGTCCTTCCCTGGGGGGCTCTGCTGGCCCTGGCCCCTGCCCTGGACGTGCCCGAGGGCCGGCGGAGCTCACCCTTCACTTCGATGCTGGTCTTGCCTGCGTGCTCGGGGAGGAAGATGCAGGAGTACTCGCCGGAGCGGGCGTCCAGGTCCACCCTGCAGGCGGACGCGCAGCAATGAGAAGGGCACGTGGCAGGAGCACCATCCTGTCCCGAGTGAAGTTCAAACCTCTGCGAGCCGCAGGGGACCCCACCAGGGGCCAGAGCAAGGCCCAGCTGGTGGCTCCACTGAGGGGTCCCTGCAGGGCGGGAGGGTACAGGCTGCCCGCTTCCCATCAAGGAGAGGCGAGGTGTGGGGTAGCAGTCGGAACTGATCCCCTCAACTGACCCGGCTCCTGCACCGATGAGCCTCTGTGCCCAGTCACCTCTGAGAGCAGACCCTGGCTCTGGAGCTGCCTCGGGCACCGCCTAGGACCAGGCTGCGGAGCAGGGTGGCACAGAGAGCCTGAGACCTCAGTGAGCCGGGCACTCCGGGATTCCGAGCCGGGAGACCCCAGGTCTGCCCGCCCTCCCCAGCCAGCACCCTAGAGAAAGAAGGGAAGGGTCTTGGAGGCCAGCCTTCCATTTAGCAGCCCCGGGGCCCTCGCTGGATCCCAGGCCTTGGTCATCTCCGATCCCTACCTGGGCTTCTCACAACTGAGGGGTCTGAGCAGGGCTCGTGTCTAATGTCTGTCCAAAGCAAGCCCACAACTATGACCTTAGTTCTGACCAACCAGAGAGGCTGTGAGCAGCAACAAGGTGTCCGAGCCTGCAGGGCGCAGGAGGGGGCCCGGGGGGGACACCTGCAGGCTGAAATGGGGTCCAGGGTGTCTGCGGCGCCCACCCCGGGCCCCACTCACTCGTACTCCGTCTTCAGGTCAGGCAGCGCATCCTCCTTCAGCACCTTGCCCCCCTTCACCCAGCGGTGGCCGACAATCTCAGTGGTGCTGTGGTTCAAGGCACAGGTAAGGCGTGTTTTGGAGCCGATATCATCTACAGATGTCCAGATCCCGCTCCCTAAGGGCCACAGGAAAGAACAATGGCAAAAGGTCAGGGCAAGAAAGGACTCAAACCCAGGACCCTCAACCGCCTGCCCACTCATCCCCATGGCAAGCCTGCAATGGCCCAGACACTCCAGGCCGTCCACACTGGCGACAAGCGGTCCCAGAGGAGAGGAGTCCTGAATCACACGTGGCTCCTTCTGGAAGGACACCTTCCGCAGAGTTAAAGGAGCCCCGGGTCTGAAGTGCTACTGCTGCAGAGAAGAGGGCTTGATGGCAGGTTTCTTTTGGGAAACGTTCTAACCAGCTGGGCCTCAGATATTGGAAACAAAAGCCAGTGACCATCCTGGGTCCCAGAACCAGGACCAAGACACTGGCTACTGAGTCCAGGCCTAGCGCAGTCTGAAATCCTTTATTTAAAAAAATTTTTGTAAATGTTTAGTTTTGAGAAAGAGAGAGAGAGAACACGAGCAGGAGAGGAACAGAGAGAAAGGGAGACACAGAATCCAGGCTCTGAGCTGTCAGCACTGAGCCTGACACGGGGCTTGAACCCATGAATCATGAGATCCTGACCTGAGCCGAAGTCAGACCCTTAACCAACTGAGCCACCCAGACGCCTCTGAAATCCCTCTTTTAAAAGATAAATCTAGGGGCGCCTGGATGGTTCAGTCAGTTAAGTCTCCAACTCTTGGTTCTGGCTCAGATCAGAATCTCACAGTTGGTGAGATTGAGTCCCACATGGGACTCCGCACTGAAAACACAGAGCCTGCATGGCATTCTCTCACTCCCCCGGCTCTTTCTGCCCCCTCCCCTGCTCATGCTCTCACTCTCTCTCAAAATAAACAAACATTAAAAAAAAAAAAAAAAAAAAAGAAATGGAAAAAGAAAAGATAAATCTACTGGACACCTGGGTGGCTCAGTTGGTTAATCGTCTGACTTTTGATTTTGGCGGAGGTCATAATCCCACAGTTCAGGAGTTCGAGCCCCGAGTCAGGCTCTGTGCTGACAATGCAGAGCCTGCTTGGGATTCTCTCTCTCTGAAAATAAACATTAAAAAAAAAAGTCCGCGGGGCACCTAGGTGGCTCAGTTGGTTAAGCGTCTGAGTTCGGCTCAGGTCATGATCTCATTTTGTGGGTTCAAGCCCCGCATTGGGCTCTGTGCTGACAGCTAGCTCAGAGCCTGGAGCTGCTTCGGATTTTGTACCTCCCTCCCTCTCTGACCCTCCCCTGCTCACACTGTCTCTCTCTCAAAAATAAATAAGACACACACACAAAAAATTAAAATAAGCTGCATCTGGCACTGTCTTGGCCGCCATTCCCTCACTGGATGCTCCTGCAGACCTGCTCCCCCGCATCAAGGCAAGGGCATCCGAAGTGGGGACCAGCATACTCCACGCGCTATCTTCCACTTGGGCCGGGCAGGACCTGGCTCCACTCTGAAGACCCAGACACTGCTGCCAGACTCCCAGCGGCCGCCCTTCCATTCAATTTCCAACCAGGCAAAACTCCCCACTGGTGTGAGACATTCTCTTTAGGAATCAAAAATCACTTAGAACCCAATGGAGAGCAGCCTGCTGAGGCAAGGAGGCTTGAGCCAAGGGCCAGAGTTCAGGCAGGAAGACTGCCAGGCGCCGAGGGGCCCCAGGGTGGAAGGAGAGGGGCATGGAGCTGTGAGAATGGACCAGGACTCCCTCTACACCAGACACCGACCACCCAGGGGGCAGCAAGCCGCCCCTGTCCCCGGGACGCTCCCATCAGGTCTCCCTGGAACCCAGGGCGCCCAACGGCTGCCCACACCATCCCCAACCCACCTCCCCGGGGAGGGCGGTGACCTGACAAAGCTGGTGCCCAGACAGGGCAGGGAGTGCAACTCCACCCCCCAAGCTCATGTGCCCCAGAGGCGTCCCTTCTAGAAGACCACGCCCAGAGGATTTAGGCGCAGAGATCCATCCCAGGGCTATTGGCAATAAGCTTCTTTTCCATGCAGTCTGTATGGAGAATCCTACAGCATAAAATTGGATGAAAAATCAGAACGTGAGGCCGTATCTGGAAAAGCCACAGTGCTAAGCAAGCAGCAAGCAGCAGGCTCTCGTCCACACAGAGACCCAGTCAGTCATGAAAATTTAACCTGAAGACCCAAAAAGGCAGCAGGTGGTCTTTACTGGAGAGAGATCACTTCAGTCCTCCCCTCCCCTGTCCCTCTATAGACTGACCACAGGCAGGCACTCCCAGTCTGGGGAGGGGCGGCCTCTGTGTGTGGAAGAGGCTGGACCCAGGCCTCAGGACTCTAGCCCGGCAGGGGAAAAGGGAGGCAGGCATCCCGGCCACACAGGAACGACGGGGAGGCTCCCTTCTGCTGCCCTGGGCACTACCTACCTTTGGCGTGTGCGCACACACCCAGGACCTCGTGCATGTGCGTGTGGATACATGGGTACAGAGGTGCACACACAGCGCACACAGGGGTGGACACGGGCACGCATGCACACGCAGCACCACATGTATGCACGTGTGGGCATACGGGTTCAGATACATATGTGGCCCATGAGTGTATGCAAATGCACATGCAGGGACACATGAGTGCACACACTCACAGCTTCACGGCTGTGTGGGAAGGCACAGGCTGCTGCTCTGGAGCAAAATGGCACATGGCCCAAGGTCCTAGGGACGAGTGGACCCTCATGCCCACCCACTTGGGGCGGCCCAGAGGCCATCCACTGGCATGACAACAGGCAGGAAGAGGGCTGAAGCCGGGGCGGGGGGGAGGGGGGGGTCCACTCCTGCACCGAACCCTCCTGTGGCTGCACCGTCTCTCCAGAAGGATCACCCCCTGGCAACCCACATTTCTCCGGAGTCAAGATTTCCCAAGATTGCAAAACCCACAGCCGGGTGCAGAGCTGGGAGGGTGAGTCAGGGCAGGAAGTGGAGCCAGCGACTGCCCTCCTCCTGGAGGCATCTGTGCCCTTGTCCCCTCACCCAGAGGCTGCTAGAAAGGTCAGCCCGATCTTATCCCAGCTACGCTCTGCCTCCCTCGGGGAGAACGAAGGGGCCCAAAGGCCAGAGGCCTGAAAGGGCCACTTACAGAAGGGAGCAGGGGCGCAGGGTCTCTGCTCTCAGAGACGGGCCAGGGCACGGAACCCCCACCCCACCTCCCCCCGCCCATGTCTGAACAACCACAGGCTAACACCCCTGTCCTGTGTGTGGGTCACACACAGCAGGGAACTGAAACAGGTCCTACCTGGCCCAGAAGACTGACAGGGGAGGGCACCGAGGGATTCACAGGGACAGACCCTCAAAGGCCATGGGGACAGGAAGGAGAAATGAGGGAGAATACTCGGCTCCCCCAGACAATTTTCGCCAAGTGACTGTGACCCATGTTCTCAAGTAAGGTCACCTTCATCTAAAAACAGCCGCCCCTCCTCCCTGACCTCAGGCAGCTGGGCAGGGCACGGGGCCAGGCAGGCTTTATGGAAAACAGCCCAGGAGCTAGGGGATGAGGCCGCCAGCTCCCACCCTCCTCCCCACCAGCCTCAGCAGCTCTGCTCAGGTAGGAGGAGCAAGAGAACATTTCTGGGATGCCAGCTGAGGGTTCTGGGCCTCTCCGCCCTCCCCTCCCCTCCCTCTGGCCAGGAGGCTGCTCCTGCTCCCTTCACCTGAGGCTCAGGCCGAATCACCAACCTGCAGGACCTGGCTAGCAACCTGGTGCCCACATGTGCCCTCCCAACGGGGCGCGCCGGGACAGCGGGGGTCCTCCTGGCAGAAGACCTGTGCTGGGGCCTCAGCGGACCCAGGTGCTGACCCGCCAGGCGCCTGCCACTCAAGGTGAGGAAACAGGCTCCTGCAGACCTCCTGCACTGCTTCTGGGGAGCTCGCTGACCCAGCCCCAAGAGGCGAACACGGTCACTAATCCATGTGTCCCGGCCAGAAAAGGGACGCATGGCATTTGTGAGAGTCCCCCGGAAAGGTGACAGAAGTGAAAAGGTCCCAGGTGGGTTCAGACACGGCAGAGAAGCGCTAACCCAGGGTTCCCCCCGCGACAGGAGGAGCAGACCAGGGACTTCCTCCCCGCCGGGCGGTCCGTGGCCACCTCCTGCCAGGAAGAGCGATTCCTCACGGGCTCCAGCCAGAAACAGCAGCAAGTCGCCCGCACTCGTCTTGCCTGCGGGCTCCTGTCTGGGGCTCCCAGAGACCTGCTGGCGGATGGTGATCTGCGGGCCCGCCTGCGGCCAAGGCCCCTGCCCACAGGCGTTCAATAAAGGGTCATTCTGATCATAAGGAAGAGGAAAGAGGCCAATTGAGATCCTGAAGTGGGTCAGGAGTAAGTGGGTGAAGCTTCTGCAAGAGGCAGCCCCTCCCAGACCTGGTCACAGACACTGTCACCCTGCGCTCCTGCCTCCCCAGACCCTTTTCTGCACTTTGCTCTCTGCAAGCCCATCACTATAAATCTTTAACCCAAACCGAAACGGAAGTCCACTCGAGGAAGAAAATTTCTACCAGGCAAAGAAAGGCTATCCTGCTTTCCCCTGAAAAACACGCTTCCATCCATTTTCCCTGAGCTTCTCGACACCACCCCCCAAACACTGCCCACTCCTGTGCAGAGCTCCCAGAAATAAGTGCTGTTGGAGACTCTGCTAAAATACACCCTCTCAACACGTCCTGCTCAGAACTGGGCTGCCAAAGCGACCTCACAGTGACCTTGGGACAGTCCCCTCGCGCCCTGGGCCTCAGTTTACACTCCTGTTAAAGGGAGAGGGTGGACCAGACCCTTCTCGTTCTGTGGCCTGGAATCAGACAAAATCAAAGAAGCAGAGCGTGTTCGCTTCCCGACGAGGGTTTCAGGGTCTGGGCAAACACCAGGGGGCAGGTGCCTACCCGAGCCAGACACGGGACCTAAATCCTGGGAAGAATGACAATCCCTTCCAGGGCCAGACAGCCCGCCGGCTTCTGGGGCGGGCATTCCTCAGCCCTAGGGTCCGCGTCCACGTGAGAGCCTGCGGAGGCGGCCACCGCTCCAGGCCACACAAGCTTCGCCAGGGCTCCGGGGACCCCGAGACCGCGCCACTGCACCCCGCGGCGGCACAGGCACGGCGCAGGCGGGGGGACCCGCCGTCACCGGACGCGGGGTCGGCGGAAGGGCGGGGCTCCGCCTCCAGAGCCCTCCCCAGGTCCCCTCACCCAGGGGTCAGGCCAGCCCTCGGACTCCTCGCGTCCCCGAGCCGCCGGGCTTCAGGGACCCCACCAGCAGGGCCGCCCCGGCGGGCCCCTGCTGCCCCGCTGCGCCTCCACCCGCGCCGGGCAGAACCCTCACCTGCTCCAGAGTCGCCCTCGGCGCTGAGCAGCGCCAGCGCCAGGACCACGAGCTGCCGTGCCGCCATAACTCCCCCGTCCGTGCCGTCCCAGCCGCCAACCGCTGCCCGCGGCGCTATAAGAACCGGGAGGGGCCGGGCGCGCGCGCGCAGGGCGACGTCGCGGAGGGGGCGGGCCAGGAGCGCGCACGGCACGCCAGTCGCCCCCTGCGCACGCGCGCGGACGCACGCACGCACGCGCCGCCTGAGCGGGCGCCCGCGCCGCCGCCACGTGACCCTGTAGGTCACGCCCACTGGTTGGGGCGTGGTTGTGTTGCTAGGAAACGGGGGCGGGGCCTGCGAGGACTGGGCTGGGCCCCGCCTGTTTCCTCAGGCTCTCGGAGTGTGATGACCGGACCGTGCTTGCTCCCAAGAAGTTAATTAAAATATTCGCTTTATGTTTCGTGTATCTTACCACAATACACAAAAGAAAAAAAGCATTAAGGGAGGCGGTAGGGATCCCTATGAACAGGTGGGATGTATACCCTGGGCTCGGGTGGGCTTCCAGATTTAGCAAATAAAAATACCTGGATGGCAGTTAAGTGTGAATTTCAGGTGGAGAGCCAGTAATTTCTAAACGTAAGTATCCCGTGCAATACTTGGATATAGCTATGCAAGGAGAACATTTGTATTTATCTGAAATTCACAGTAACTGGCTGTACTGTATTTTGTCTCGAAAATCTATCCTGAGACTCCCCATGCTTTTTTTTTTAGACTTTATTTATTTATAAGATTTTTTAAAACGTTCATTCAGTTTTAGGAGACAGAGTGGGCAAGGGGCAGAGAGAGGGGAGGAGACAAAGAATCCAAAGCAGGCTCCAGGCCCCCAGCTGTCAGCACAGAGCTGATGCAGGTCTCGAACTCATGAACCCCGAGATCGTAACCTGAGCCTAAGTTGGCTGCTCAACCAACTGAGCCACCCAGGCGCCCCATCCCTATGCTTTACAGCAAATACTTTTTTAACTTTTTAAGATTTCATTTATTTATTAAAAATGCTTTTAAGTTTGTTTATTTTTAGAGAGAGATTGAGAACACGAGCAGGGAAGGGCAGAGTGAGGGAGAGGGAGAGATTCCCAAGCAGGCTCCTTTCAGGCTTAACGGACTGAGCCACCCAGGTGCGACTGTTTTTTTGAGATTTTATTTTTAAGTAATCTCCACAGCTAACGTGGGGCTCAAGCTCATGACCCCGAGTCGTATGCTCTTACAACTGAGCCAGCCAAGTGCCCCTACAACAAATACCTTGTTAAATGACAAAATAACTTCAAACAAAAACAGGTAGTGTAATGTTCATGATCTTGGGTAGGCAGTGGTTTCTTACTTGTAACACCAAAAGCCTGAGCAACAATAAATCAATAAACAGGACTTCATCAAAATTAAAAACTTTGTGTTCCAAAGAACGCCAAGAAGGAAGTGAAAAATCAACCCACAGAATGGGAGAAAACACTGGTAAATCATAGTTCTGATAAGGGACTCACATCTAGAATATATAAAGAGTACTTACAATTCAATTTAAAACAAGTACAAATAGGGGCACCTGGATGGCTCAGTTAGTTGAGCATCTGACTTCGGCTCAGATCGTGATCTCACGGTTTGTAGGTTCGAACCCCACCTTGGGCTTTCTGCTGTCAGTGCAGAGCCTGCTTCAGACCCTCTGTCCCCCCGCCCCACCGCTTACAAAAATAAATATTAAAAAAATAATGGATGAAGGATCTGAATGCAACATTTCTCCGAAGACCAACAAATGGGCAACATGCCCACGAGAAGACGCCCGCCATCGCACCATCAGGGAGAGAAGGTCACACCGCTGACATGGCTGCAGTCAGAAGGGCAGAAAATGGCTGGTGTTGGCCAGGTGGAGAAACTGAAGCCTTCACACCCTGCTGATAGAAAGGGAAGATGGGGCTTCTGCTGTGGAAAACACCGGGCAGGTCCTCACAAGGTTAAACAGAGTTACCATCTGACCAGCATCCCTCCCGAGAACTGAAAACTTAACAGAAGCCTGCATACCAGCGTTCGTGGCTGCATGCGGTGCCCCGTCTGCATCCTGATTGTTTTCAACTGGGTATTTTTTAAGACCTGCAGATACCAGGGACGCTCTGAAGAGTCCAGGAGCAGTTACCCTTTTGCAAGAGTCATTTACATTTACAAGGGAAAGTTCCATGTAAGGGTGTGTCCCTCCAGAAACCTGTATCTGGGGAGCAGGTGAAGACTTGAATGTGCTGCAGCCTCACCCTGTCTACTGTGCATTTCTGGGTCACCTCCCCATAACACACTGCCTACCCCAGTGTTGTCGGCTTTCGGCTTTCACTGAAGATGGCACATAAGGTGATGGCTTCCGAATTTCTGAGTGTTACTCAGCTTTCATGGCTGTTTTCCATTTAGGACATGTGTTATTAAGCTTGTGTTTGTTTTTCTCCCACTCATCCATTTAGTTATTAGACCAGCCAAAGTACCTAGAAGGGAAGAAGGGAAAGTCTTCTGTTCCCTATCTGGGTAAAGGGAGGGCTGCTTCAGATTGGAGCAGCTTCTGGAAGGCTGCGATGTGTGGGGAGGTGAGTGGCAAGTCTGAGAACAGCCAGTCAGGCACGGGGAGGAGAGCTACGTGCAGAATGAGGTGGAAAGCAGCCAGCTGGCGTCAAAGTCCCTCTGGCCTGGGTGGAATTCCACGGCCTCCTTTCCTGCCCTCCCTGGGCCGAGCTGAGGACAGATCTCGTGGGAAATATTAGGGCCACCAGGCAGTCTTTGCTTTTGTTTATAAAATCAAGCTGTGTCCCCTCCAAGACCCAGTTTTCTGGTCCCCACTCTGGCGCTCTGGAGAGTCTTCCCTGTTCCCTCCTACTGGTCAGATCCCTGTCCTGCTGGGTCCTGGCCCCACCTGGGGCAGGAGAAACCTGGTGCCACTCCATTACCAGATTTAGCAAATAGAAATGCAGGACACCGAGTTACATTTGATTTCAGATTTTTTAAAAAATGAGCGATTTTTGAAGTATCAGTCTATCCCATGCAGTATCCGGGGTGGAGTTATGCTAAAATGTATCCGTTCTATATCTGACCTGCTCAAAAGCAGCCCAGTTCCATCACCCGTTGTAACTTCCCTCATTGCACCAGTCACTTCTCACCTCGTGTCCGGCGGGGAGAGGGGACCTCGCCTGCACACCACAGGGTACCCTCCTCAAGCGGCCCCCCACCCCTGGCCTCTAGGCCTGCACCCTCACTGGGAGGGGCCCCGATTCCGGATCTGGACGACTTCCGCAGACACGAAGGCAGGGACCCAGCCCTGCTCTCTGGCCTGTTTCTGCAGCTTTGCTGTGTGCAGCGGCCGAGCCACCCGCAGGCCCTGCCCCTGCGGCCCCTCAGGCCTCACTGGCCCACGTGCTACCTGGGAGTCTGGTGTCCGGCTCCCACCCGGCACCACAACAATCAGCAGACTGTGCTGGGCAGCCTGTCTCTAGGACCTCATCCCCAGCACGCCACCCCTGCCCCATCACAGGACAGGGCGTCTGCTTTGGTTCGTTTGCCTTCTACTTTTTCTTCTAAAACCTCTCAGGGGCACCCGGCCAGCTCAGTCAGAGGAGCGTGCAGCTCTTCATTTTAGGGTCATGAGTTCAAGCCCCACTTGGGGTGTAGAAGACACTTAAATAAACTTAAAAAAAATAACCCTCAAACTCACAGATGAGGAGATGATATCAGATTTTCATTCTGTTACCCATCTGTCCACTGCTAAAATCTTTCAGCTTAGTTTTTTTATGTGCGTTTTTCTCAAAGTGGGAAGCTTTGAAATCCACCCCCTCCAGGCAGTGACTGAGGTTTTATTCTTCGGGTGTTAGGCAGCCCTGGGAGGGGCTTGAGCAAGGCCGGTCAGTCCTCTGCTGTGTTCTGGGGAGACATCTGAGCTGCGAGGGGAAAGGGGCCTGGGGGGGCCGGCAGCAGAGGGGGGAGGGGCAGCCAGCAGCCAGGAGGTGCAGTGGGTTGACTGGCGCCGCCCAGGTCCTGCGAATGGGATTTCACTTGGAGAAAGGGGCTTGAGATGAGCTCCTCTTGGATTAAGGTGGCCCTAAATCCCATGTCTGGTGTCCTTCTAAGAGACACCAACAGAGACACAGAGACACGGGGAGACAGCCTGGTAAGAGGGAGGCAGACACCAGATGGATGTGGCCACAGGTGCAGGGGCGTCACCCCTTGTCCCAGGAGCTAGAAGAGGCAGAAGGCCCCTCCCCAGAGCCTCCAGCTGGAGCGGGCACAGCCCCCCTCGATCTTGGGCTTCTGGCCCCAGAATGGGAAGAACATAATTTCTGTTATAAGCCATCCAGTTTGGGGCACTCTGTTCCCTCCGCCTCAGGAGCTAAGTGTGAGGGGGTTGGGGGGACGGGGTGGGGGTGGGTGCGGGATGAGGGTGAAGGCAGTGGAGGGCGGGGAGGGGAGGGGTGGGGAGGGGTGGGGTAGAGGCATGGGAGTGAGGTGGGGATAGGTGCAGGCAGGTTGGGAGGGTTGGAGGACGGGGGAGGGGCAGAGGTGGGTGTGGGGGTAGAGGTGCTGGGCCACCCAGGGTGCCCAGCAGGTGGTGAGCTGGGGGGGGCTCCTGTGGGTGTGGACCCAGGCCCAGCAAGTGGCTGCGGCCCCCTCCCACCTCCATGCATTCTGAGTTGGCCAACTAGGGTTTTCCTCAGGAGGAGGCAGGGTGCCTCTTACCCTAGAGAGCTCTGCGTGGTTCACGGTTCCCTCACCCGGTCTGCTGGTGTCACCGCCATAGTGGGGTCACAGGAAGGCTCTTTGCTGTTCAGCCTTTTATTTTGGCCAGTTCTCGACCTACCTGTGCTTCAGCCTGGACCCCCCTGGGGGGGGCTCCTCACATTCCCCTCCTGCCCGCTCTGTGCCTCTCTCCTCTGCATCCTCTTCCAGGACCTGGCACTGAGTTTCAGGGTCAGAGCCGAGCTTCACGTGGCGGCAAATCGGCATCGTTGTGCAGCACGGTCAGGTCTCCCCAGAGGCCCCAGCCAGACCCCAGGGCCAGGGCAGGCCCCACACCGAAGGTAGCTGTCCGGGGCTTCGCATCCATCATTCTGGGACACACCACAGGCGGCCAGGCTCTCTCAGCGTCATGCCCCGTGCCCGGGCTCCAGTCCCCAGCCGGCCCCTCCCACTGGGACACGTGGCCTTGTTCCCAGAGTCGAGGACCACCTGCCCCTCACAGGACACGGGGGAAGGGGAGCTGGCGTTTACAGTGGGCTGACAAGCATCCATGCCCATGTTGGGCTGAAAGAGGACCCCTAGTCCATGTCCGGAGGAACCTCAATGAGCCCTTCTCTTGGAGTGGGGTGCTCGCACATGTAATCGGGGTGAAATGAGGTCACACTGGAGCAGGGCAGGCCCTATCCTATGGCTGACGTCCTGGTAAAAACGGGAACCCTTGACAGAGACCCAGAGCAGAGGCCATGTGACCGTGGGGGCAGACGTGGGATTGAGATGGCCACAAGGAGACCTGGGGCCTCCGGGAGCTGGAGGCAGGAACCGCCCCCCCTCCCCAAGCCGGTGGAGGCAGGGAGACCTGCCCACCTTGATCTCTGACTTCTGGCCTCAGAAGTGGGAAGATAGAGTCCCATTGTTCTGAGTGCCTGCTGTGTGGCTTTGTTGTCACACCATCAGAGACGGCCACGGCGGGTGCTCTGAGTCTCCAGGCAGGGTGCGGCAACTTCTCATTCCTGTTGGTGGCCTCCCGCTCACCTGGGGGTCCGTTGGAGGGTGGGGGGAGCCCTGCTGGGCCAGGACGGAACAGCCAGGCGGGGACATAAGCAGCAGGCCTGGCCTCTTCTGATCTGCAGCCAAATGGAGACTCACCAGACCCCTGACAAGGCCGGAGGCCCCGGCCCGGAAGGGAGCTGCTCAGTGCCTCTGGGCACAGCTCTAAACACAATCTCACCTGAGGTTGTCTGTCAAAGAACAGTAAAAGCCACAGCTTCCTGATAAAGCCAGTAGGGGCCTGGCTGCTGGTGGGCGCGCGTGACGGCAGGCAAGTGCTTCAGTGCAGGGAAGTGGCTGGGACGACAGGCCGCAATTCACAGCAGCCGAGATTCAAGGTACAGACCAAATGTCCATCGGCAGGTGTCAGGACACACACAGTGTCCACCGCGCACGCGCACATCCCTCGGCCGCGAGCAGGAGCGAGGCGCCCCCACCCGCCGCCCCGCGGACGGACCCTGAACACACGAAGCTCAGGGAGGGAACCAGACACGGGAGGCCACGCGGGTGTGAGTCCGCGTGCGTGACGCGTCCAGAACAGGCTCCTCCACGGGCGGGAAGGGGTTCGTGGGGGCCAGGGGCTGGGGAGAGGGGTGTGTGACTGCGTGCGGACGCAGTTGCTTTTTGGGGAGATGGAATGTTCCAGGGGTGCTAGTCGCACAACCCCATAAACATACGAATGCCCACTGAATTACGCACTCGTGACGCATGTCTGGATGTCCAGCATTTGCAGGTCTGGCCCTGAAGCACCCTGGTAGGTCAGCCCCCAGCCTGCCATGCTGCTCTGTGCTCCTGCAGACACGGGGACAAGGCCAGGAGCCCGTGGCCCTGCTCCAGGTGACAGGATGGGGGGTTGGGGGATGGGAGAGCTAGGGGAAGGGGTGCGGTCCCGGGGTGCAAGCTGTTATCCCTCCCCTCTGCCCCCCAGCACCTTGAGCATCTTGAGGGAGGGTATTCTCCAGACTGGGGGCCAGCTTGTACTCTGGGCGCTGGGCCGCTGCCCTGAGGCAGCACGTGAGGCTGCTGGTGTGTCTGGGGGAGCCCCGCAGCCTGCGGCCCCTCGCCCGGCTCCTGTCTGGCCAGGCTTCCCCTGTCCCCACCGCTGCCCCACCCTCTAGAAGGTGGCTGGGATCCCCTCAGCAGCGGCTCTGGCCTCGTCCAGTGCAAGGGCTCTGCCTTAGCCAGCAAGGGTCCAGAGGCTCGCTCGAGACCTGGGCTGGGTCCGGCAGCACTGGCCTGGGAACTGCCGGAACTTTGGAGAAACAAGCTCTTTCCACAGCACCCAAGGGGTGGCCTGGAAAAGCCGTCCTGATCCATGGCTGCGAGACGGACAGGCTCATGAGGATCTCACGTGAGCACTGGGACCCAGCTGTGCCTGCTGCCTGTGTCCTTTGCAATCACAGGAGGCAACAGGGGCCTTTTGATTACCCGACCCAGTTCGGTCAGGCTGCTACTGGCTCCAGGGTGGGTTCACCTGGGGGCCTCACCGTGGCGTGCACGACCCAGGTTCCCTCAGTGTTGACTCCGCCACCCTCCGGGGTCAGCTCTACCGATGTGGCCAGGTGGGAGGCACAGTCCCTGGCCCCCCGACTGCGCCATCCACTTCCAGACTTCCATCAGGGTCTCCTTGTGCAGGCTGCCAGTCCCTGGCTCGGTTCATGGGACACAACCCCCCGCCCTGCTCCCCAGAAATGCCTCTAGGCTAAAAAGGTGGAGGAGGGCCCAGCCTGGCCTCAGCACCCCACAGAGGTTAAAAACATGAGCTGCTGGCCTGGCCCTGCCCCTGCTGAGCACGTGGGAGAGGGTTACACGCCTGAATTGGGTGCAGGAGGGGCTGCCACAGGCCTGCCGAGAACGGCGGTTGACTCCAGAGGGGCCCGGCCCGCCCTGCACATCCAGCCCTCCAGGTTTAAGAAAAGCCAGAGATGAAGAGGAGTGAAACCTTCCACATTTTAATGGAGAAACATCATTCCGGTTGAAACGCCACCAGACCGTGGGGGCTGACTGTGAAAGGCATGTGCACAGGGCCGTGGGCACACTGGTGTGCGGGCCGTTGTGGGGGTCTGACCGTGTTCACCATGGATGTGTCTGCCCCTCTGGCCCGTCCCCACCTGTGTGGGGTGGTCCAGTCCCAGCTGCAGGGACTGCCCAGGCTGAGCGTGTGCTTGTCTGACCCAAGGGATCCTCCAGGGCTCACGTGGGCCTTCGTCCTAATGCCGTCTGACCCTGAGCCCAGGCCACTCTGGACTTACCAGTTACCCCAAAATGAGGCCACCAGGACAGGGTGCCGCCAGCCTGACCCAGGACTACTTGTGGCGCTGTGACAGCCAGCGCGGTGCAGGCCACAGCTGGGGTGTCGGTCAGGACGGCTCCCTCTGCCCGGCAGCGGCCCCACCCGATGGGCTGGCCCTGGGCAGGCACCCAGGGGCCTGCCCCCGCCTGGACAGGGCGCCTGGTGACACGCCGCTCTCTGCAGTCCTCCGGGAAGGCCAAGGACAGGTTGGTTCCGTAGCTTCTCATAAAGTCATTTTATTTAGATTCCAAACAGACCAAAGCAGAGAGAAGATGTGACCACGAGTGAATCCGTCGTGAGCGCGAGCCCAAGTCTCTGGCTCTGGCCAGCAGGAGCCACACGCGCACACGGGCGGGTCCCCGTCCCTCAGGCCACCGCTGCCCAGGCTCGCCCCACCCGCCCACCCAGCGGGCTCCAAAGACCAGGACACACGCAGGAAGGGAGGGCGACGCCCGGGAGGGACCACCCATACGCCATAAGGCCCGGGGCCGCTGAGGTAACATCTGTGCGTTTATTCCCGGGCTCGCCCTGTCAGGACTCCTCGGTGCCCGAGTCGTCCTCGTCGTCCCCGAAGCAGCTGTCGGCCTCGGCCTCGGGCTCGCCGTCCTCGTAGTAGTCGTCGTAGAAGAGGTCGGAGCCCTCGTCGGGCGCCGGGGCCTTGGTCTTCACGCAGTACTCGGCCAGCGTGGTGGGCACCTTCACGCCATCCCGCTCCGCGTCCACCTTGGTCCCCAGGACCTGCTTCCTGTGGGAGACACGGGCCGCAGTCGTGGCTGTCCCCTCAGGGCCGGCACCAGGCGCCGCGTGTGCAGGAGCGCAGACTTGCGCCACCAGAGAGGGTCCTGAGACCGCGGCACAGCCATGCCCGCGCCAGCCACGGGCGCTGTGTAACCTGGTGGACGTCAGCCACCAGGGGCGACGGGGTTAGGGGCTGTGCCCAGATCTCTGGTGCCTGTGCTCCTCGCTCCCCCCCGCCCCTCCCCCACGGAGGGATGCCCGGCTGGCTGGACAGACGGGGTGGAGCAGACAGAAGGAGGCCAACGCGGAGGGGGGGGGGGGACGCCCACAGGGATGACGGATGGGAGCCCCGGAGGTGAATGCTGCCATGGCTCGCACCCAGGACGGAGCAGACGGCTCTCCTGGGGACTCAAGCACGGAGCACCCCTCAGGAACAGCGCAGACGCCGAGAACCAGGTCCTGGCACAAATGGCGCCCGAACTGGACACCCTGCAGCGTCAGTCCCTGACAGCGTGTCCTCTACGTCAGCCGGGGCTCTGCCCCGTCGCCCTACAAGTCGCGCAGGGAACACAGCTTGGCAGGGAAGGTGGGGGGGCAGGCGGGCAGGAACACCCATCACAGCCTTGCTCCCGTGGGCGCATGTGAGCCAGCCCACAGGGAGTCTTAAGGGATAAAAACAGTCTGGCTTTAATTTTGGCACCACGTGGGAGGTGCTGGGAAAAACTGGGGCGAGGAGCAGGCCATGTGGGCAGGGCCCCCCAAGGTGCTGAGCCCAGCGCTTTCGCCCCATGACCCCGTGAGGGTCCCGCCCAGCAGCACCGAGGCCTGGGACCAGCATCACCTGCAGTGGCGCACAGCTCAGTTCCTCATTTCCACAGACCTAAGGCTCTGACCCCGCCCGTCATCTGGGGTCCGCTGACCTGGGACAAGGGGATAAACAAATGTGGGAAGGGGCTGCCCTGCACACGCACGGGTCACCCTGGGGCCGTGTGTGTGGTACTGGGGGCGACACCGCAGAAACTGTTCAGAAAATCCTGCTCACGTAAAATACCACAGAAGCAGCAAAAAACAGGCCAGGTCTACAGGAGAAAACTGGCACAACTTTACTCAGAAAAAAGAGAACTAAAATAAACAGAAACGGGTCCTCCAGACGGAAGGCCTGTGGCTACATATGTGGACTCCCCAACGACACCTGCATCCATGCGGTGTGAAGCCATGCAGTGTGGACGGCAGGGAGCACTCACCCACAACGGGGAATAGTGTGTGAGGCACGTGGACGGCGCTGTTCTCCACGTTTCTAGGACATAAGATCAGTGGTGGCCCAGGGAGGTAGCGGTGGGTGGGGGTCTGGAAGGCTACACGAAACCCGTCAGGCGCCAACGTTACAGCGCTCCCTTTCCGCTCCTAGTGGGTCGTGCGTGCTCCTCTGTCACGAGCGGGTTGACGCCTCAGCACACAGGTGGATTCTGTGGCTGCGTCTGCGGGAAACGCCAGCGTAGAGGGCACGGCGGGGAGTTCTGACCCACGGGTGTCCTGGACACTGACCCTGACCCTCCCCCCAGAGGTTCTGCTGTGTCTTTTCAATTCTGTCCGGCAGACGCCGACGTGCTTTCTGGCGCTGCGTGGACAGGCCACGGCTTGCTCCCTCCTGGCCTGCGGCTGCACAGCTGGGTTGTTGGCGGCTTTTGGCAAACCTAGATGGTTCCGAACGTTCGTGTGAGTACTGGTGTGGACACATGCCCCGGTTCCTCCTGGGTAGATACTCAGACGTCAGGTGGCTGGGTCCTAATGCAGGTGTGTGACTTATCCAATTTCTTAATTAAAAGGTAAATGACAGGGGGCGCCCAGCTGGCTCAGTTGGAAAAGCATGTTTGATCTTGGGGTCATGGGCTCGAGCCCCAAATTAAGAGTAGAGATTATTTAAATAAAACTTAAAATATGACAAACTGCAAAGGTATTTGGGAAAAACCTAACGAAGGGTTAAGTCTGTCATGAAATGAGTCAGTAAACTCTCATTAAGAAATAACAACGGACAATGGACACAGAGCAGCTCACACAATGCCACAAATCACGGGAGAGAGAAAAAGGAGGTCAAGCGGCTCTGGGCCCTAAGTGGACACCGTGTACACGCGGGGCCTCAGGACAAGTTCCGACCCTGGTCCCGCCCCTGCACCGCTGTGCGTTTGTTCTGTGCAAAGCTTTCTTTCCAAAGTGTTCACCTGTTTATTCCTAAAGGGAGAGCACTGAAAATGACCACTCCGACAGGTGGAGGATCGGTCCTGGCCGATCCCTAAGCAGCAAAAGATTTATTTTCCAGAAAAGATAGCGGTTTTCTGAATTCCCTAGTATTGTGATCATTTTCTACCTTTAGGAAATGATTCCAAGTTTCAAAATTACAACCGTAAATGATATTCACAGCAAAACCAATAAGCAGAAGAGATAGAATGTGGCACAAACCAGGCCTCCGCAGTACATGAAACATAGGTTCCGCCCAAAAAGACAGTTTGAACAGAGTTGATGTCAGGAGCCAGTTCTGTTAGGACGCTGGTCCTGGAGCCCCGTCCCCCCCATTTGCTAGACAGGCGTCAGGGGACAGACCGCGGGCGGGAGGCGAGTGGGGCGGGGCAGAGGGAGGACCAGGAAGATCTCTGCCATCTTAGTCTCAAAGCAAAGAAAACGCACTCAAACCTTGTTGGAGCCCGGCAGTCAACACTCAGGGGCTTCTGGGTACGACACACGTACACCATGTGTGCTCTGAACGTGCACACACACACCTTACGTGCGTTAAGCTACGCATACGCGATAAACGCTGGGGCACCTTGCAATGTGACAAGGAAAACACCCATTTTCTTAAAAAGAAAAAAAAAAGAGAGCGGGCGGGGTGGGGAGCAGAGAGACCAACGGGAAGAGCGTGTGGCGGCGCGCGGGCCTGCCCAGAAGCCCTCCTCACCTGATGATGTCCGTGTACTCCCGGTCCTTGCCTTTGCTCTCCTTCCACTTCCTGTACATCACAGAGGCATCCACGTTCGCCGGGGAGAAGGTGTTAGGTTCGTTGAGGAGGGAGATGACGCTTAGCAGGATGGTCCTGGGGGAGCACGGAGTCAACAGGTGCAGGTGCTCCCGGCCCCCCGGCCCCACCTAGGAGCTGGGCGACTACTCCCAGGCCCAAGAGTCACGGGGAGCTTCCGGACACCCTGAAGTCAGCACCGGCCCAACCCCGCGGGCGTCATCTGCCTGGACTTCTCACTGCCTCTGCTGGTCTCAGGCCCCAAGAACAGCAGGGTCTGACCCCCCAGACCATCTGCCTGCCCGCCCAGACCCCAGGACGAGACGTGTGGGGGCAGCTGAAGCTACTACACCTTTGTTCCACGTGTCCCTACGCCCGAGACACCCTGCAGGCCAGCCCACTCAGGGTGAGCAGCTCTGCCCTGAGAGGGAGGTAACTGGGCTTGGTGGGGGACTGAGGAAGGAGGGGAGACCCCCAGGACAGGCCGAGAGACTGTGGGAGGGAAGATACAGACCCAAGGCTCCCAGAGGCCATTTCTGCCGGTGGAAGGGGCAGGGGGCACCAAGAAATGCGAGGAGAGGCCACAGAATCGGTCCTGGGGTCCTGGGGCCCCAAGGAGGCCCCACAGGAGCAAGGGCAGGAATGCTGCTGGGGGACAAGGGTCCATCTGCCGACCAGCCCCTCACACAGGGCCTGGCCCAGCCTCACCTGACGTTCTGGGTGGGGTTCCACCGCTCTGAGGGCAGCTCCCCGCTCTGGGGGTCATCGACTGGGGGGTGGAGGATGGAGATGCACACATCCCCCGTCTGTGTGGGGACAGAGAGAGGGGTCAGCGCCACAGCACTGTCAGCAGGCAGTGCGGTGCCCTTCCCACTACCGGGAAGCGGGGAGCGGCCTGCCCGTGGGCTCACCTCATAGATGTTGGGATGCCACATCTTGGTCAGGAACCGGAAGGCCGGCGGGGAGTAGGGATAGTCGATGGGAAACTTGAGGCGTGCCTGGGGAGGGGCAGACGGCAGAGGCGCTCAGCCAGTGCCGGCCACTGCTTGGGGACTGTGCCCACCAACACACAAACAAGGATGTTAGGACAGACACCCCATCACGGGAGGGCCGCCTGAGCCGATCCTGGCCCTCACCCTGCTGCTGAGAAACAACTCCAAGGCCATTGTCAGCCCAGGCCTGTGGAGGAGCCAAGAGCCAGGCCCAGGGAGCTGTGCACCCCAGCAGGGCGGTGACTCCTAGGCCTCAGTTTCCAGGCTGTGGGGAAGATTAAAAATAGTTGTGTGTTCACTCGGCAATCATTCCCGACACCACTGTGGGCCGAGTCCTGTGGGAGGAGATGAGTCAGCACTGGACGGATGGGCTCTATGCCCACAAGTATCCACCACGGGGGGCCAGGAAGGTAGACGGGAAGGTCCTGGGGCAGCCTGCGGAGGGCCGCCTGCCCAGGTGGCAGAGCTGCTCAGGCTTCAGCAGGTGAAGGGGCTTTGTTTGCTTGTTTAAGCTCCAGCCCCAGACCCTGGGATGTCTGGCCTAGGATCCTGGCGGTGCTCCAGGCTCTTGGGGGCGAGCCAGTGTGCTGGGAGCCAAAGCTGGAGAATCACCCTCTTGGGCAGGGCACTTGGGGCATTTAGGAGAAGTCCCTCTGTTCTCAGTGACTGCGCTGAGGCCTGGGAGGCAGGTAACCAGCCAGTGACTGCAGAGCAAACCCAGAACTCAGAACCTCCCCTACGGGTTTCTAAGTGACGGCCCTGAGGACAGCTGTTCTCAAACAGCCACCAAGGCCCACCTCATCTCATTTCAGGCATCCCCAGAAATGACCTCACTACTGAGCAAACTGAGGCTCAGAGAAGGAAAGTACCCTACCCAAGGACACACAGCAGGTAAGGAAGGGGAGGAGGCTGCTTAACGGCACCTCTCTGGCACCCCTTCAGTACACCGCGTTGCCCAAAGCAAAGGCTCACTTGGGCTTAGAAAGGAAAAGGAAGGCACTGCAGGACGTGGCTGGGAAGTGACGGTGGCCCTCAGGCACTTCCCAGCCCGGCTGTTCCAGACTTGTTGCAGGAGAGGGCCTCCCACCCTGCCACGCCTCGGACAGGAGGATCAGGGTGGGTGGCAGCTGGGTCCCAGCTGGTTTCTTTTGAGGACACAACTTAGAGCAACCTATGGCAGATGTATTAGAAATCTAGCAGTGCCCCGTCCCCAGTCCATTCTTCTCCAGAAAAATGAGACAATCCCCCAAAACGCCAGTGTGGAGAGTCCACCCCCCAGTCCCTCGCAACCAGTTAGTGAGCAGAAATCAGAAGCCCACACCCTTTCCTTCCAGATCCTGGCGTTGCCTCAGGGTGGAACTCCACCTCAGGCTCAGATGGGAGCTCTCTTCCCTACAGCCTAAAGCACACAAGAGGCTGGGGGAGGGAGCTAGTTGAATCGTTAGGTGATCAACCCCAAATACGTCTTGGGTGCTGGAGGAGGCCGGACTCCTGATGCACCACTCAGCCCAGACCGGTCCACAACCCCAGCAGACCAGGCTGCTCCCTCACAGCCCCTGAGCAGGCTCAGCGAAAAGAGGAGCTCAAAGTGCAAACGCAGACATCTGTCCTGGAGTATCACCTGCCCCTCCCCCACAGCCTGGCCTAGCCCCAGGACTCAGCAGGGCTGTGGAGGGTGTTCCCAGGCCTCCGGCTCTTCCTCCCACTCCTCCTGCAGGCAGACCCCTCGCCCTGTCGCTCTGGCCCAAAGAGCAAAGCCCTGCAATCTGACAAGGGTCCTTCCAAGGCCACGCTCAGACGGTGAGGTCAAGAAAGCTGCCTGGGTCCTGGCTCAAATCCTCTGTCACACTAGTGGGAAGCACAGCCGGTCTCAGGCCAGCACCTCCTCCCTCCCTGCTCGGTAGCAACAACAAAACGAACTGCCCGGGAACAAACTATCACAGGGGACAGAGAAAGCGACCCAGAAGTGAGATTTGAGCCCCAACAGGCCAGCTGCTCAGCAAAACCTGAGAAAAGCAAGTTGGGGCAAGAGGGGGGCCCGAGGTTCTGAGGCCAGGGTCCGGGGTCCATCGGGGCGCTCTCTGAGGTGCGGCTCCCAGGGAGAGTGGAGGGTGGCAGTGATGAGTCTTGCCTCAACCTTCCCCAGAGAACAGCTTACATAAAGCTCCAGAGGAGGCCAACAGGGCCCGGCTCGCTGCTATCAGGAAGAGTGGCCGCTTTCCAAACAGGCCCCAGCTGGCAAGGACCCATCTGAGCCTTTGTTGGAACACAAGCAAGTGGCGGAGCAGCACCCCCCGCCCCCCCAGCGTGACCTCCCTCCTTCCCTTCCTCAACCCCGTACTCCCCAACAATAGAGCTTGCTGGGTCTGGGAAGGCTCTTTGTCTCCTCCGGGCAGGGGGCGGGGAAGGGAGCTGAGGGCCCGAGTCCGCCAGAGACTGAGATAAGCCCGAGCCCCCACCCAAACAGGCAGGCAGCGCCCCGAGCCCCCTCTCCGGGGGTCCAGCAGACCGGCTGGGAAGGCGGGGACCTGAAACTGCTTCTCAGGGACGGAAGGGGTAGCCGAGAGATCCACCAGCTATACCAAGGGCCGGGGCAGAGAAAGACGGGGTCCGCCGCGGGCACAGAAGCCCGGTGGGAACCGGGACTGCGAGCCGCGCGCTCACCTTGAAGTAGCCGCCCTCGTAGTAGGTGTTGGGGGGCCCGAAGATGGCCACCTCCCAGTTGTACAGGTCGCCCTCGTCCACCAGGGTCACCCGGAAGCCCTCCACCGGCTCCTCCTGCAGCCCCTTGAGCTCTAGCAGCAGCGCCTTCTGCGAGCTGGGCACCAGCGGCCGGGCCATGGCGGCGGCGGCGGCGGCGGGGCCCGGGGTCGGAGGCGCGCTGGGCCGCGGGGCCGCCGCGGGGGCGCGGGACGGGCCGGGCCGCGCGCCGGCCGGGGAGGCGCCGGGGCCGGGGCCGCCGCCGCCGCCTTCCTCCTCTACGCCGCCGCCGCCGCCGCCGCCGCCGCCGCCACTCGGGGCCCCTGAACGCTCCACTCGCTCTGGCACCGCCGCCCGCCCGGCGCTCGCCTCGGCCCGACCCGCGCACCCCGCCCCACGCTGCGCCTGCGCGCCGCCGCCGCCGGGCCCCGACCGCGCCTGCGCGCCACGGCCGGCCTCGGACTGCACCTGCGCGCCCGCCCGCGGGGCACGCCGGGAAGTGGAGTCCCCAACCCCGGCCCGCCGAGCGCGCAGGCGCGACAGCCGGGAGGGAGGGGGCCGAGCGCGCAGGCGCCTTGACGCTTCCCACCCCCGGGAGGCCGCCGCCGCCCCCCCGGCGCTTGGACGACCACCGCGGACGCCTCTGCGCTGGGAAGCGGGCAGAGCTGGGCTGCGTTGCCCAGACACGGGCCACCGGGGTTTTGGGGTCTTTTTTTATGACGTCCCAGTACGGGGCGGGGCCGGGGGCGGGGAATTGGGGAGGTGGGCCGGGGCGGCGTCCTCTGGCCGGGCAGGGACGGATGCAGGCGGATTCGCTTCAGGGGAGGGTCTGAGCAAGCGGAAAGGGCGGACCGGCCGGCCGAGGTGGGAGGCGGGAGGGTGGTGGTTAAGCGGTGCGTGGGATCCGCAGACCTCGTCTTCGATGGGCGATGCCTCAGTTTCTCGAGGTCGAGGTGAGGAGTAACCACCCTGCTCGATTCGGTCGGACGAGCTGGAATCCGGAGATGGGCAAGATGCTGCTCCCCAGAGAAGCTGGGAGATGAGCGCACCCCCGCTTTCAGCTTTCGTTTGGCAGTGTTGATTCAGCACCTGTCCTGGCCGATTTTCCTTTAGGGGCTTCCCATTCTTAGTCTCTAAGGTCTGAATTGGGCTGACCCCCCAATCCCTGGCTGTAGGGATGGGTTCACCCAACCAGAGCGCTCCTGGCCCCTGGCTGCACTGGGTTCCAGAACAGCATGTGGCTCAACCATCTGACTAGATGCGGCTCTGGGACTTTCTCTGAGAACAACAGGCTGGGGTGGCCAAAGTGGGGACCCGGCCTGGAGTTAGGGGGCCAGCTCATCACCACAAGCCCTACGAACAAAGGTGGCACTCTGGGATCCTGATGGCCCTGTGTGTGCCCCTGGATGCAGCCGCACTGACCTCTGAATGCTGCAGAGGTGCAAGCTGATAAATTACTTTCGTTCGTATGAAGTCAGTTTGACATGGGCCTCCTGTCACATGCCACAGAAGAGCCCTGCATTCAAAGCCAAGTTCTCCCATGACTTTGGAAATGGCCCTTAGATGCTGAGCTAGGTCTCAGTTTCTCTACCTGTAAAATGAGTTACATGAGATAATATTTGAAAGTGCTTTTAAAAATTAAAAAAAAAAAAGGGGGGGGGTGCCTGGGTGGCTCAGCTGGTTAGACATCTGAGTTCTGACTTGGGCTCAGATCATGATCTCACGGTTCGTGGGTTCAGGGCCCGCGTCGGGCTCTGTGCTGCCTGCCAGCTCGGAGCCTGGAGCCTATTTCAGAGTCTGTGTCTCCCTTTCTCTCTGACCCTCCCCTGCTCACACTGTCTCTCTCTCTCTCTCGGAAATAGATAAAACATTAAAAAATTTTTAAAAAATAGAATCTTAAGATGGGGAGCTTATTTTGGGTAATCCTGGGGGGTGGGCCCTGTGTAATTTACCCCACTCCCAAGGGGTCGTAGGACTTGTGGTGACATCATGGCTCCAGACCTCGGACCAGGTCCTTCCAGCTCAGCTGCCTCAGAAAACAGTCCCAGGGCTGCCTCTCATTGGCCATCCAGGAGTCACCTGCTGTTCCAGAAAGGGGCCATCTGAGGACACGGAGGAATCCAGCCAGTCCCCCAGACCTGGGTGGGCAGGGGGCTTCCACAGAGGCCACGAACTCCAGCGGAGCCCCAGGTTTGGGAGGTCAGCTAGGAGGCTCGTCCCAGATACGGCAGGCCCAGGGTGTCCTTGGGATGGCTCCGGAAGTCATAGGTAGGTGGTTGGCTCTCGAAGGCTGGAGCAGAGCAAGGCAAGGCGGGCAAGGGGGTGTTTCCAGAGGGGGAGGTTTGTAGTGTCCCGTGGTCCACACTGCGGTGAGGTCGAGGCCAGGTAAGGCCTTGTCAGCATCCCTGGGCTCTGGCAGAGGTCAAGCCAGGGTCATAACAACGGGACTTCTGGACCCAAGAGTGTGCTTGATTGTGACCCAGGGAGGCAGTGGCTGAGGCTGGATGGGGCAGGCACGTGGTCCTGGCTGGAACTGGCCTCACTCTATCCTGGGGCTCTGGAACACGAGCTGCCACAAATCAGCGCCTCCTGAGGCGCGGGGGCTGGGCTCTGTGCCCCTGCTCGTCACTCATTAGCCCCGCCTGCCCTGTGTGCAGCCCACGTGTGGGCAGGAGCCTCGCCCTTGTTCTGTGCCGCTGCCGCCAGGCCACCTGGTAGCTAGGTAGCAAACTCCCGGAGAGTTTCCTGGATGTGGGCACATGACACCAGCTAACACTTCTCAACCCTCCAGCTGCCCCTTGCTGCACAGTAAATGACCAAGACTTCATGGCTGAAAGCAATGTTTCGTTCGTGGATCTGCAGTAGGTGCTGCCAGTGGCCCTCTCTCCCGCCCTCACGGCTGCCGAGGGAATCGAGGGACTCTGTGAGCGCTGGGAGGCTGGGGGGAGTGGGCCAGGCCAGCCACCTTTTGTGACCTAGGCATGCAGACCGTGTAGCGTTACACAAGCCACTCAAGATTCAACAAGAGAGAACGCAGGTTTCACCTCTCGATCCGCCTTTTGAGGGGGGGAGTACGGATGTTCTGGAAGTGTGTTTGGGAAAACACGTACTCAGCGGCCACAACTCACTGGTTCACTGATCGCCCGGCCCATGCCGGGGGCTGGGGGGGGGGGGGGTGTGCGTGTGTGGACAGGAAACAGGGAGACAAGGCAGTCCTTGCCATCAGTAGCCTGTAAACGGTTTAAGCTCTGTTCCCACGGGGTCTCTCTCAATCAGAACAGGGGCTGTCCTGGGTCCCCTTTACCGGGGAGGCTGAGGCCGTGGGAGTGAAGTCACTGGCCAGCGACTGTTCTGGGCTGAGAATGTGACCCGGACTCCCTCCTCCTGCTCCCAGAGGAGTTCCTTGTGCAGGAAACAGTCCCCTGCTGGGGACAGGGTGCCGGCAGGCGCTTGGTGAGCAGCGACCAGGGAACCTCACAAGTGTGCAGGGGATGGAGGTGGTGGAGATTGTGGGTTCTGGAGTACGCACTGTGCTGGCAGGTAGGGTGACCCTTCATTTCTCTGGGCCTCGATTTCCCCACGAAGTCCAGGTGGTGGTTTACCTTCCTTGCGGGGCTCACACATGTCAGTTGTCCTCATCATCACTGTCATGGTTACCTGCCCAGCTGAACTGTTCCTCTGACAGCTGGGGAACCTGCGGCCAGGGAGGAACTGGTTGGGGGGGGCACTTGTGGACAGCAGGGCCTCCGGGGTCTCAGGGCTGTGGGTCCCAGGTGCCTCCCTGAGCAGCTGAGGCTGGAGCGACGTGGAGGTGAGGCAGGGGAGCGCGTACACCAGGTCAGCCTTGAGCGCAGACTTTATTACTGCCGAGGAGAGGGACCTTTGTGGGGGTGGGGGAAGGGGGTGCTCACTCTCTGGGACCCTCGACCTCGCCTCTGAAGGCGCTGGGGCATGATTCCAGGTTGGAAGGCGGGTGTGGGGAGGGCTCCCTGCACTCGCACTCCCCCTGCATGCAGGGACCCCCCAGTTCTGGTCCCAGATCTGCACTCTGCCCAGTGGCAGGTGGCTCCCACCTCGAGGTGCCTCCAGCTGCCTGGGTGGAGGGTACAGGGCAGACGTGTGGTTGCTCAGCCCACCGGCTTGACCTTGGCTATGAAGAGGGCGGCAGCCTTCTCCAGGAACTCCTCCCGGGTCATGGGGGAGCTGGGCCGCCGAGCCACCAGGGCGCGGTCCATGGCCAGTGCCAGGCTGTCGGGGCCCAGGCGAGAGCCGGCCTCCAGGAAGCGGGCCGGCGTGGCAGCCCCGTCGCGCGCCTGCAGGGCCCCCTCCAGGGTGTCCAGCACGGCCTGGCCCACGCGGCGGTCAGCCACGGCCAGGGCGGGGTCCTCCAGCAGCTGGTAGAGGGCGCCGGCCCGCGCCACAAACTCCAGGAGCACGAAGCAGGTGAGCATGCCGGCGCGGAAGACGTCCAGAGGCACGGCCTCGTGGTCCCGGCACTGGATCTTGCGCAGCAGCGGCGCCACGACCTCCTCGGGCGCCTCCCCATCCCGGCAGATGCGCTTGAGCAGCTCACTGTAGGTGCGCCCGTCCAGCCCTGGCTTCTTCTTGCGCCCGCTGGCGCTCAGGCACTCATAGGCCACGCCAACGTTGTTGTTGAAGGCCGTCCTGCGGGAGGACAGGAGTGTTGGGCCAGCGGAGCAGAGCCCGGCACAGCCCTTGGACGCCTCCCCCACCCGCCGGCCCCAACCTCCCGGCTCCCATTTATCTCCCTCCAACAAACCAGGCCTGGTCGAGCCCCAGGGCCTTTGCACACACTGTGTGCTTTGCCTGGAGTGCCCTTCCCCTGGGTCTCCCCATGGCTCCTCCAGCTCCTCTTGAGTTTTTACTAAAATGTCACCTTTTCTGTGGGGACCACCCCTGCCTCCTCTTTTTCTTCATGGCAGTTACCACCATCCAACTCAGCATAAGATGTCCCAGTGAGGCGTCATGTCTTTCGGAATGTCAGCCCAGGAGCCCCAGTGCCTAGGGCACTGCCTGGCACACAGCAGGTGCACTACAGATATGTGCTGAGTCACCTGGTGGGCATCGCCCCACAGGGCCCTCCCCACAATCACACTTACACTTATGGGGTAGTCACTCCCGGCCAAACGCGGAGACTAGTGTTTCACACGGGTTAACTTATTCCACTCTGCTGCAGCCCCACGGGCCAAAAGTAGGCAAACCACACCTGTGCGACAAATCTGCCCCCTCCCCCCGCCTATTCTGTAAATAAAGTCTTATTGGCACGTGGCCTCATGACGCGTTGCTTGTGGTTGCTGCAAAGGCAGAGCTGAATGGCTGCCACGGGGACTGATGCATGAAATCGCCGGTACAGGAGGGGCTGGCCCTGCTCTCCTGGCTGTGCTGGGGGCTTCGCGAGCTGATCGGCGAGCCCGGTGTGGGCTCAGGGGGCACCCGCGTGGCTGCTTAACCCTGTGTCTCACTCCCTCACGGGATTAGCAGCCTAGCGCCTGGACCGTGGCCCAGTGCTCCCGTGGCTGATGGCCCGTTAGCATCTCCACCACGACCAGTAGGTACTGAGGCTCAGTGCCGGCTCACGTCAGGCCAAGGATCCCAGAGAGGAGGGGGCCGGCCAACCCTGAGGTTCACACTCATCTTCTCTAGGAGCCCTGCCCCATGGCGAGGGGAGGTGCAGTTACTCCACTCCCCTCCTGTGTGACCCGGGCACGTTGTCTCACCTTTCTACGGGCCAGCAAGCAATGGACCTCAGCAAATGCTGGCCCGTATGCAGTGGGTGCTCAGTATGTGCTGGCCACCATGGCCATCACGGCTGCACAGTGTGGGGCTTCTGGACGGATGCGCTGACCCAGTTAGCTCTGTGGATCAGAGCCCCATTCCAGAGGAGGAAACCAAGGCCCAGGGGCTACAGAACAGTAGCCTGGGGGAGGGGAGGTCTCTCTCCCAGCTGGGACTCACTTCTCCATCTGTCTGGCTACAAACCGCTTTCTCTTCTCACTCATGGGGCTTCCCGATGGGCTGGAACGGACGGTCAGGGAGACCACGCCTGGGAAGCGCTGTGGGTACCGTCTGTCGGCGCTCGCTCCTTTATCACGACTCACCCGCGGTAGCTGCTGCTGCCTCCAACCAGCCCCGTGCAGGAGCCTTCCTCCCCCCCACCTCGCATTTGTCTTATTTTTGAGAGAGAGAAAGCACGAAAGTGGAGGAGGAGCAGAGAGAGGGAGACAGAGAATCCAAAGCAGGCCCTGCGTTGTGAGTGCAGAGCCCTACGTGGGGCTCTAACTCACAAAATGTGAGATCATGACCTGAGCCAAAATGAGCTGAAATTGAGAGTGGGCCGCTTACCGATCGAGCCCCCAGGGGCCCCTGCGGGAGCTTCAGGGCCTTGAAACATGATCTCCCCCCACCAGGAGGAGAAAAGGCTTGGGGGGCCCACTGTGAACGAGCCTAGCAGTTGCTGGTGCCCCAAGCAGCTAGCTATCACTGCGTAACAAACCGTCCCAAGCCCAGCAGCCTGAAACGGCAGGAAACATTTATGGCCTCAGTGTCTGTGGGTCGGGAACTGGGCAGTGGCTCAGGGTCTCTCTCAACGCTGCCATCAGCATCAGGGTCCCTTGAAGGCTCACACACCTGCACCCTGGCACCCCGGCCCATGGGGTCTCAGGGTCACGGTGCGCCCTCCCCACGCAGCTGCCCCCTTCTGACATGTGGGGGGCTCTGCAGGCCAGCTACCCCCCTACCCTGAAATGAGGAGTCTTCACCACCATGTGTGTGGAGCTACGCGGCCAGGTGTCCCCGTGGTCTGCTCACTGCCGCCGTGCTTGGGGAAACTGAGCAAGAGTCCGTGAGCACAGCCCCTCGAGGCCCCAGCCTTGTGGTGTGAGAGGCAGTCCTTCGTGTCAGGGCTGTTTGTCACTGCCGCATGACGCGGCCTCTCCTGACTGACGCCAACGTGGCCCAAGACTCCAATTCCCTCGAGCGAGTTCACTCCTGCCCAGAAATGGTGGCAGCCTGGCGGGAGGACCCCACCCTGGGGTCAGGAGAATGAGGGTCCTAACGCCTGCATCGCATGGCTCTCACGAGGATGGCAGGGTGGAATTCGTGGCAAGTACTTAAAACAGTGCCCTGCACGTGGGAGGCCGGTTCTGCGCTCAGCATGGCCATGCCCAGGGCTGTTCAGGTGCCTGTGTGTCTTACCCTCCTGGCCTCTGGGGCAGGAAGACACGCTAACAGTTAATTGATTATGGCTCCTAACAGTTAATTATGGCTCTGGGCAGGGTGCTGAGGAAGGTGACACCCAATCTCTAGGGCACTGGCCTCACGGCAGCCCCTCCCCACCGCCGCCACCCAGCCCGGCCACACACAAGGGCTCCATCCACGTCACAGTAAAGAGTGTGTTTGTTTTAAAAAGATGTGTATGTCATGTAGAGTATCTCCAGAAGGAGACATGGAAATATTTCGCTTTAGACCAGGGGTGATTCTGTCCCCAGGTGACTCCTGGTGACCTCTGTGGACACTTCTGGTTGTTACCACCGGGTAGCTGGAGACCAGAGACAGTACCCAGCCACCCCAGTGCCGGCCCTGGGGCCCCTGCCCAGACCTGACCCTGGCTCTGCCCCTTAGTGGCCACACGTCCCTCAGCAGGTCTCATAAAGGTTGTCTTGTGCTCCTGGGGACTTGAGGTTGGCAGGGGGGTGGCCGATTAGACACCGCTGCCACCACCACCAGTCCAGGTGGCCAGCACTTCTGATTTTGCAAGACACAGGACAAGGGGATCTTGGACGACTTCTTCCCAAACCTTTCATGCCGACGACAGCCCCAACCCGGCCCAGTCAGCCCATCCGCACTGGGGGGAGCTGCCCCGCTTCAGAGGCAGGGACTGGCCAGGCCTGGCTTCTGCTTTTGGCCCGTCCAGCAAGGTTCAGGGGCTCCTGACTGCACGGTCTTCTGCGCTGGCCCCATGTCTGGGGAGCCCAGGGGAGCCCCGGGGCCAGCGGCAGACACGCCCTTGGTCGCCGCACCCTTGGTGCCCCTGCTGCTCCAAGCTGCCTCCAGCCAATGGCTCCCAGAGCCCCGGCACTGCAGTGCCCAGAGTCCCCCCAAAATGCATGTCTATCCAGAACCTGTGAGTGGCCTTATTTGGAAATACGTACAGTCTTTACAGAGGTAACTCACTCAGGATGTGGAGAGGAGATGAAGTAGCTCTAAACCCAAGTCCGCAGAAGAGAAAGGACAGAGACACAGAAGACGAGGGAGGCTGACCCTGGAGGGATGAGGGACACCTGGGGACCCCGGAGCCAGAGTGGCAGGAAGGACCCTCCCCTGGAGTCTCCAGAGGGGGCACTGCCCTGGGTCACCGACACTTGATCTCAGACTTTTGTCCTCCAGAACCATGAGACAATAACTTTGTGTGTGTGTGTGTGTGTGTGTGTGTGTGTGTGTGTGTGTGTTTATAAGATTTTATTTTTAAGGAATCTCTTACACCCAACATGGGGCTCGAACTTACAACTCTTGAGATCAAGAGTCAGGTGCTCTACCAACTGAGCCAGCCAGGTGCCCCAGATATGCTGTTTTAAGTCACTAAGTCGGTGGTAGTTTGTTACAGCAGCCACGGGAAGGAGTAGAGCCCTCCTGGCCCTAAACCCAACCGACACTTCGCAGCCCTCATCTACAGGCCACTGGGCGAAGGGCCTCTGCCAGTGCACGAAGCCTCTGTGGGAATTAGGAAAAGGCTCTGCAAAAAGCCTTCTTTTCAGTGTCCTCACTTGTGACCGTGTATAGGTGAGGGGCTCAAGCAGCGCTGAAGAACTGTACATGGTGGCCCTGCCACTGACGACTTTTTCTCTTTGGAAGATGTCCCAGGATGCCATTCTCTTCTGGTTCCCGCCTTCATGTCTGGTTGGCCTGATCATGCTTTCTTACGGGCTCTCCGGGGCTGGGGCTCCAGCAAGGTTGGGTCCTGGGCTCCTCTGGGCTCTCCTGACGCCCTCCCATCTGGGCCGCAGACCCGCCTGTCTACCCTCCAGCTACAAAGTTCTCCCGGCGCCGACTTAAGAGTCCCCGAGCAACCCCGCACACTTTCCCCAAACCAATGATCCCCCATCTCAGCGGACGGCCCATGGGCTACCTGGGACTCCCTTCCCACCCCAGCCCCTGCAGACCTTCAGGGCACATACATGCTCTTCTCAGATGCCCCCCCCCACACCCCTTCCCACATCTGGGACCCCTTCCCACACCTGGGACCCCTTCCCAGCTTCTCTGTGCTGTGCGCTCGGCCTGTACCCGTGACTCTCCTGGGAGGCTGCCCAAAGGCGGGCAGGCGCCCGACACACGTGGGGGCCTCCTGGAGGTCAGGCTTGCGCACTCTCTTGCTTGGCTTCCACTCCCTTCCTGGGTTCTTCTGGAAGCACTCCCCTTATAAAATCACCCACGCATGGATGCTTGCCTCAGGCTCTGCTTCTAGGGACCTCTCTCGCCTCATTTTTTAAAAAGTGGGTGGGCTGCAAGGGGAACTCAGCATCTGCGGAAAGGCGTCACAACACACGAAGCCGGCCAGAACTACCGGCGCCCCCCGCCCCCCACCCGCGGTCCCGGGGCACCCGCGCCGGGGGCCGTGCGGCACAGGGCCCAGCACGCCCGCGGGCAGCAGGCCCCGCCCGGCCCCGCCCGGCCCCGCCCCGCACCTCTGGGAGTGGTGGGCCAGGCGAAGGTGCCACAGCGCGCGGCCCAGGCGCTGCTGCTGCAGCAGGAGCTGGCCCGGGGGCTCCCCGGCGCCGCCGTTTGCGGGCGAGCGCAGGCCCATGTTCTCGAAGTAGTGCGCCAGGAAGGCGATCGGTTCCTCGGGCCGCGCCTCCAGCACCTTCAGCAGAGCCGCGCGCAGCATCTCCGTCGCGCCGACCTGCCGCAGGAAGTCCTCCTCACTCTCGGCCGCCGCTGCCGCGCGGGGCGCCGCCGGCCGGCCGCTGTCGGAGAAACTGGCCGCGGGGGCCGCCGGCGGCCGCCGCTTCTCCACTGCCGCCATCTTCGCTGAGGGCAGCGGTACCGGAAGCGCCGCCGTGTTCCACAGCGCGCTGGCGCCCGGACGGCCATCTTGGTTAAGGGCAGGGGGGCGCCCGGATCCCGCAGGACGACTCTGGCAACTAACTGGCGCGATCCACTTCCCCTCCCGGGTTTTAACCGGCACTCTCCCTCCGGTTCCGCGTCACGCGTGCTGGATCGCTTTATACGCTTAGGGTGAAACCTGATTTTTGCCAGACTCCAAGATGGCTCTCTAAGAAGGGCATGGCTTCTGGCCTGAAGCTGGCTCGCTTGCCATCTTGGTGACGGGCGAGCCCTTCATTAGCACGGTCCCCTAGCAACCGGGCTCCTCGGTCACCGGTGAAGCCGGCGGAGCGTGTGTGGGATGACTCCGACTCCGGGGCTGGGCGCCGCCCCCGCCCGTTTTCCGATTTGCCGCTGCCTCTGTGCTCAGCCTGGCCTCAGCCTAGTCCAGTCTCCGCCTGAGTTTCTGGCCCACCCGGCGGAGAGAGGTCCCCTCTCCCCGGCAGCCGCCGACCAGGGTGGGTGAGTGGGTGGGCCAACTACGGCCTCCGTCTCCCCGCCCCATGCTGTTACGTCTCCTCGCCACCAGAGGGCGCACACCACAGCCCCCGGAGCTCTGAACTCCCGCAGCTGCGCGGCGCCGCAGGCGGAGTCCTCGGCATCCACGGCCGTTCTTTCACCTGCTGATCGCATTTCCAGCCTCTTCCTCGCCTTTCCCCCACCCCACCGACTTAGTCCCCAAGCGACCCCAAGAGCGAAACAAAATGCTCTTTAACAAGCCACTTCTGTGTCTTTGCTCGCGCTCCTCCCCCCACCCCACCCCACGCCCCGCACCCAACGCCTGTCCCCACGTGTTTTGAGGACTCCCAGTTATTCTCAAGTTTCAGGGTTCCCGCATCCAGGGGAAGGCGGAACCCACGCTCCCTGCTGCTCCCTTTCCCCCAGCCCCGGCCGAGTGGGGGCGGGGCGCCTGTCCACCCCCACCTCCCGCGGAGCCGCCAGGGCAGAGGGGGCTGGAGCTGCGCGGGAGATCCCAGCACCCCCCGAACGCCGCAGAAGCCACGGAGGTCAGACCACGTGCTCTTTATTCCCCGGCTCTGGACCACTGCGGGGCGGGTCCCCGGGGGTCCCCCGAGGGGAAGCTCAGATGCCGACCGTCAGGGTGGGCAGGTCACGGTCAGCTCTCAACCGTGTAGGATCCAGAACCCTGCAGACGTCCTCTGGCTACAGCTGAGTGGAAGGCCACGGGTGGGGGGCGCTGCCGGTCCTCCTCAGTCAGTCCCCGCGCGGCGGGGGGCCCGGAGGGGCTGCCGGGGTTTGGCGGTCAGCCCGCAGGCCTGCAGCGTTTCCACAGACGACGGGTGAGGAACGCCAGGAAGAGCAGCCCCAGCGCCACGCTGCCCACCCACAGGGCTACGGATGCTGTCGGGGGACCTGGAGAAGGAAGTGTCAGGAGCTCTGAACACCTCTTGGCGGGTTTGGGGGAGAAGCTTAGTAGAATCTGCTGGGGCCTCCACATTTACTGAGTTCCCTGAAACTTTACAAAGGACTTCACAGTTTAGAATGTCTTGTGAAATGTACAAAAGCTGCTGGACTATCTAAAGGACTTTGGAGTGAATCTTTTGAAAGGCACATAGGACCTTGTAGTCAGAAATGGGCTGTCCAGTGAGGTGGCCGCCCACCACGCCTGTGTTTGAAATATGGCCGGTCTGAATGGAGAGTGCTGTCAGCATGAAACGCACACCACGTTTTGAGGACTTAGTTTGGGAAAAAAAGAAAAGAATGTAGGATGTCTCATTTATACTTAATGTGGCCACTAGAAAATCTGAAATGACCTAAGTGGCTGTATTCTATTCTATGCGCTGTTGTGGGCTATAAAGTTTATAGAGTTTACAGAGTGCTGTGAAATCGACAGTCCCTTAAATGTACAGTCCTCGCACTGCCAGGTAAGTGTGAGCTTACGCTGGGGAAGCCCACGGGACAGTTTGTGAAACTGAAGCTGGGTAGGACCATTCCTTGTCTAAGGTCTTGACACAAGGCTTCTCTCCCTCTGAGGCTCCCCCAGCCCCCTCCCTAGCCCCCAGAACTCACAGATTTCAGGGACCAGGTAGAGGCTGGCCATCTGTCCCCCTGGGTCCAGGCGACACTGAAACCAGCCTTCAGGGTTGCACCTGGCCCACAGCACGCTCAGCCAAGCCAGGGCCCCAGCCTCCCGCCTCTCGTAGGCTTCAAGACCCCCGGGGGCCTGGGTCCAGCTCACCGACAGACCAGGGCCACAGGCTGCCTCACACAGTAGCTCCAGACCCCCCGGTGCCGGTGCCTGGTGGATCTCAGGGCGACAGGGCCTGCTGGAGCTGTTCACCCCAGGACTCCGGGGGCTGTGGGTGGAGCTCAGCTCTGGGGCGGCCTCTGGGGAGGTCGTTACAGGGGGCTCCCGGGAGGTCAGCCAATGCAGGACTGGAAAACAGGGGGATTGTTTTTTCTCCTGCCCCGGGCCCCCTCTCCTGCCTGCCTCTCCATTTAGACCACAGGGTTCGACCAGAGCTGTTGAAGCCCCATCCCGGGCCCCTTGGGCAAATGGAGGGGTATCGCAGGGCCAGGGTCTGTCGTGGTCCCCTCCCCACTCCGAGTGAGCTTCTGAACCTCTGCACCTCAATTTCCTCAGTGGCAAAGGAGGTGAGAGCCACCCATCCTTGGGGTGCCATGGGGAGCGATCAGAGTGTGGGCTTCGGGAGTACTGGATTTTATAAATTATAGGACTAGTAAGTGGACAGAAGGCAAGGTGAAGGGGTGCTGGAGCTTTCTGGTCTGTTCCTTGTGTTGGATATGGGAGGCCAGGCTCCAGGAGGGGTTTGTACATCTTACCAGAAAATATCTTTCAAATCCAGTGGCCTCTCTGGGTGCCCTCCCACCACCCCCTCCCTGTCCCGACCCCTTCCAATCGATTCCCCTGGGAGCTCCCTTGCTCTAAACCCACCCTGATGACTCCAAGTGCAGTAACATGAGTTTCAGGGTGTCTTGCTGGAGAAGGGATTTGTGCTTTTTAAGTGAGAGGCTGCCAGGGACTTCATGATGTAGGCAGGGCCCATCCCGTAGTAGACATGCTTGTTAAATTAATAATGTCTGAGATGCACTGAGCACCTGCTGTGTTCTTAGCCCCAGTTAAATGTTTTCATTTGTTCATTCATTCAGCAAGTTTTTACTGTGTACCTACTATGTGCCAGGCACCATGATTTCATCCGTCCATCCATCTGTCCATCCATTCATTCAGAATGTATCTTGAATGCTTACTATGTGTTGGGCGCTGTTTTAGCCACTGGGGACATAGCTGTGAATAAAACATATTCCTATCTAAGGGGCGCCTGGGGGGCTCAGGCAGTTAAGCGTCCGACTTCGGCTCAGGTCATGATCTCACGGTTCATGGGTTCGAGCCCCGCGTCGGGCTCTGTGCTGACAGCTCAGAGCCTGGAGCTGCTTCAGATTCTGTGTCTCCCTCTCTCTCTGACCCTCCCCTGCTCATGCTGTCTCTCTCTCAGAAATAAATAAAACATTAAAAATTTTAAAAAAAATTCCTGTCTCAGTGAAGCCAACAATGGGGGAGACAGACAATGGAAAAAAATTGAGAGAAAATACCAGGATGCCAGATATTGATAAAAGGTGTCAAAGAATATATAATAAGTCACATGGCCTGTGTGTGTGCATATGCATGTGTGTACACATACATATATAAGGGGCAGTAACCCGATGTACACATACATACGTAAGGGTGCTTTGACCCTTGAGACAGGTCAGGAAAAGCCTCACTGGGAGGGCAACCTGAGAAAAGTGAGTGATGGAGCAATGGACAGAGCTGGGGGAAGAGCATTCCCAATGGAGGGTGGAGTATGTGTAAAGGTCCTGGGGCAGGACCCGTGCCTGGCCTCTCGGAGGAGCAGCTGGGAGGCTCATGTGGCTGGAGTAGAATGATGGGGGAAGAGGGAGGAGGTGACATCAGGTCATTCAGGGCCCTGAATGCAGGGAGGATATGGTTGTTTTTTTGGTTTTGTTTTTATCCTGAGGGTGGGAGTCCTGGAGGACCGTGGGCAAAGCCGGACGGATCTCAGAGGGTCTGACCCAGGGTAGGTGCTCAGTAAACCAACTGAATGACTGAATAAATGAGGAAGGAGCATCGCTCTGGTGGCATTGATATCCCCACCTGCCATTGGAATTGTGACTGGTCCACACAGGGACACAGCAGGGGAGGGGAGGAGCCAGGATTCCGGAAGAGCCCCCTGGGCTGCACTCGTCAAGGCCCAGAGGAGCGGGGTGGTGTGACTTCGCCTACTCCCTGGGAACCCCGAGTGCAGGCTGTCCAGAACCCGGCAGACTCACCTGGAATGGGGTGCTGGTGGCTCAGGTCCACTCCAGGCAGCTTCATGGCCGCCCGGCAGTGGAGGGCAGCTGGGGCGGGGGTGCCCAGCGGGGGGAGCAGCCAGCGCTCGGTCACTCGGAAGAGCAGGTCCTCACCTTGCTGGGGCTCCTCCTCCACGTCCCGGCCCAGGGCCTGCACCCCCTCCAGTTCTCGGCCCCCCAGGAGCAGGGACAGGGAGAGGGCCTCCGGGCCGACGGGTGTGACATTGTGGGCTGTGCAGGCCACCTCCTGGGCCTGCTTGGCCACCAGGACTACGGGGGAGACAGTCAGCTGGGCTGGGAACGCTGCGGACAGAGGGTTGGAGCTAAGTGGGGCCCCGGGGGGGGGGCTTGAGGGGGTGTGGGGGCTGCTGGTGAGAGGGTCAGGGGAAGACCCAGCAGCTACAGCTTGTATGTTGAGAATGTAAGATGCTGGGGCGCCCGGGGGGCTCAGTTGGTTAAGCGTCCAACTGTGGCTCAGGTCATGATCTCACGGTTCGTGGGTTCGAGCCCCGCGTCGGGCTCTGTGCTGACAGCTCCGAGCCTGGAGCCTGTTTCGGATTCTGTGTCTCCTCTCTCTCTGACCCTCCCCTGCTCACACTCTCTCTCTCTGTCTCTCTCTCTCTCTCTGTCTCTCAGCAATAAATAAAAATAAAGGGAGAGAATGTAAGATACTGAAGAGGGGTCTAGAGCAGTAAGGGTGGGAGTCAGGTGGGGGGATGGGGTGGGGGCGAGGAGAAGAGGGAATGGATTCCTGAGTGACCCAGGCTGAGCTGATGATGGCTTGGCGGGGGTGGGGGGTGGGGGGTGGGGGGGTGGGAGGGTATGGCTGGGCAATCTGGGAAGGCTTCCAGGAGAAGGTGGTATCAGGACAGAGGTAAGGCAGGGCTGCTGGTTGGCGGGAATGTGCAGAAGCGACAGGGGGTGGGGGTGGGAGCTCACCGAACACCAGGACGTGCACGGTCCGCTGGAAGGTCAGGTCCCCGCAGGAGCCCACGCACACGCGGGTGCCCGCCGAGGACAGGGACGCGTTGTGCACGGAGAGGACGCTGCTGCCCGCGGCCGAGTGCACGGCGCCCAGGCTGGTGTCCAGGCCCCGCCACCGCACCGAGGGGACCCGGGGGCCGGCGCAGGCCAGCCGGCAGGTGAGCTGCCGCGACCCGCCCAGGGACACCGCCACCACCGGGTCTGGGGGCTCCACCTCCAGAGGCCCACCTGCGGGCAGAGCGCGGCTCAGCCCTGCCAACCCCCCCCCCCCGCCGCGGACCCCCTCCGCCCTCCGCCCTGGGGGCCTCGGCAGCCCCCCCCCCGCCGCGGACCCCCTCCGCCCTCCGCCCTGGGGGCCTCGGCAGCCACCCCCGCCGCGGACCCCCTCCGCCCTCCGCCCTGGGGGCCTCGGCAGCCCCCCCTCCCCCAGCCCCACCCCGCGCTCGCGTCCCCCTTCGGCCCCAGCCCTCCTCTCTCTCCTCCACTCGCCCCGACGGAGCCCCTCCCTGGCTCACCGCGGCCTCGCTGGAGGAGCCCCAGGACGACGGGGAGCAGCAGCGCGAGGCTCGGGTCCATGCCGCCGGCTGGGTCCCCGCCCGCCAGGGTCGGGCTTAAATAGTGCTGCCCGCTCCTTCCCGCCGCCTCCTCCAGCTGGTCCCCGGGGGCTTCCCGAGGGGGTTTCCCGTCCTGACCCCCCGACCCTGGAGGCGACAGCGAGGCAGGGGCAGGGGGCCAGAGACTGGGGGCGGGGGGGGGTACCTCGCAGCCGAAGGCAGAACAGACGGGGCGGGAAGGGCTGAGCGGACTCGTTTGAGAGGCCGGAAGACCGGAGGCTGGAACGGGCGGGTGGCAGTGAGGCCAACTGAATGGAAATCAGAACCAGGCCCGGTGAGGCTGGGGGGGCGCGGGGGCGCGGCCGCGAGCAGACCCCTCCCGCAGGGAGTGCAGAGACGGGTGGGGGGGTGGTTCTCCGGGGTGGGGCCTCCTGGGAGCCAGGGTCTCTGGGGTGCGAGTCACCTAGGGGTGGGGTGGGCTCCTGGGGGGGCGGGAGTCCCATGGGGGTGGGAAGGCTCCTGGGGGAGAGGGGCCTCTGGGGTGGGGTCCTCTGGGAGTGTAGCCTCCTGAAAGAAGGGCCCTTCAGGATGAGGATCTTGTGGGGATGGTGGTCACCTTAGACGTGAGGGTCTCCTGGAGGTGATGGAGCTGAGACCCTAACACATGCCTCTGAGCTCGTCCCCCCTCAGGTAAGACAGCGGAGGCAGCTGGGAGCCTGGGACCTCCCGGCTGGGCTCCCCGCGGGTGCTGCGATGCACCGGGAGGCCTGGGAAGGGACCCTGGCCAGGCTCCCCACTCACGGCTGCCGTCAGTGCGGCCTGCCCCTCAGCCTGGCCTCCTTTCTCCGTCGTTCGCAGCCATGCGCCACCCAGCACCCGGAGTGACACCCTTCTCAGCACACTGACTGGTGCAGCAAGGCTGCCTGGGGCCTAGAGGGAGAGCCCTTGCCGTGGCTGGAGGCTCGCAGGGTCCCGCAGCCTCAGGCACTCGGCAGGGCTGTGCCTTCACCCTGTTCAGTCTCTGCCCAAATGCTGCCTGCTCGGGCCTCCCCACCCAGCTTCACCCCCGCCTCCCAGTGCATTTCCTTGTGGCCCTTAATGAAGTCTTGTGGCTGAAATCACATTTTCCTTTTACTGGAGGTGGCTCTTGTCCGCTGTGGCCCCCTCCCTGGGACCCCAGACCCCACCCACAGCAGGCATGCGGGGAAGAAAAGAATGGAGGGGCCCTGGTTTGCCTCGGGCTGACCTCAGGGTGGCTCGTGCCTCGGTTTCCCTGGCAGTGATGTGTCGATGAGTCTCTAGCCCTGCGCCCGTGTCTTCTCAGCGTCTTAATTGCCAGAGGCGGAAACGCGGCGCAAGAGCAGGGACTGGCGGCACAGGGGGAAACTGAGGCATCAGTGAGGTGAGGGTCCAAATGTGGGGCTCAGACTCCTACCTTCCTCGGTCCCCTCCCCCTCCCAGCCCTGTGCCGGGAAGGCCGGCACAGGAAGGTGGACTCCGAGGTGCGGCCCTCCCCAGGCCGGAGGCGTGGGCCTTTCTCGGGAAGCTGGACTCTTAACCCAGGCAGGGGGCAGTGGGCCTGGTGAATGGGCCTCTTCCCAGCCCCTGACCCTGCTTCCTGCCTCCCTCCCCGCTGAGGCCTCTCGAGGGTGTGACCGAGCTCTCTGGGCTGCACCCCCCCATCCATCACCAGTGCTCCGTGTGCTCGGTCCAAGCTCCAGGCTCTCTACCTGTGTGGGTGACAGACCTTCACACCCAGGGGCACTCACAGCTCTGATCGCTGCTGATGTGGGTGCCCAGAGGGAAGGACGGGTGGGCTGATGAGACAAAGAGGGTTCTGGGCAGAGGTGAGGAGGACTTGGAACCCGGGGGCTGGGGGAGAGCAGGGAGGAGGAGGGGAAGAGAGGGATGGGGCCGGGGCCTAGGGAGTGGGGGGCTCTGGGAGCCCAGGACCCGCACCAGCGGGGACTGAACCGCATCACCTGCTTGCATCTGGGATGTCAGGTCTCCTTGTTAGGAAGCCGGCCAAGCCCACGGAGCCGCCTGGGTGGGGACTGAGGTCCTCCCTCCCCATCCCCCCGCCCCCAACCTGAGCTTCCAGCAGTGCTTGCCCGCAGCTCTCCCCTCTTCCCGGCATTGGCCCCCCCAGAAGGACGTCCTCAGTGGCCTGGGCAGGAAACCTCCTCCCCATGGAGGGTCCCAGCCCCCCCTCCCCATGGAGGGTCCCGCCTCCCTCCTTCCCATGGAGGGTCCCAGCCCCCCCTCCTCCCCATGGAGGGTCCCAGCCCCCCCTCCTCCCCATGGAGGGTCCCAGCCCCCCCCATGGAGAGTCCCAGCCCCCCCTCCTCCCCATGGAGGGTCCCAGCCCCCCC